GATGGTCTCGATGGTTGATGCTTAATAAATAATTATATTTTACGACCGGCGTTGGACGATGGACTCAGTGGAGCCTTCTCCTAGCAAAACAAAACCGATCGATGAAGATGCTGCGTATATATACTATATTATACACTACAATTAATTGGGTTTGAACAACGAAAGAGAGAACGTCTCGTCATCATAAAAATATGTGCTATAGCGCTGACGTTATCGCTCAACTCCACCCCAAGTATATAGACATATTATTGTGTAGTTCTCTATATTCTGTTGACTTTTGAAGTGTCGTTAAAAAAATGTCTCATATTTTGTCTTCGAATTTATTTTCAGACTTGTACACTGTCTAATTATATGGCTGTATTTATAGGATCCGAACCTGGGTATGTCACTTTGTGATTCTTAACTATAAGGTCAGTTCATTGTAAATTAATTAACAAAATATATGCAAAAGTTATATTTTTGTCGCTAAAACGATAGTATTCAAATTCATTAAAAGATATCTCACTGAATCATTAGATATAAAATATGATTACATTGAAAACCATACAAAATGGTAATTGTTTTTAAATTAAAAAAGGAGGAAAGTAGGTAAACGTTTTGCTGTAGAGTAAATGTCAAGTTTAACTCGAAATCGAGTAAATCATGTTTATGGAAGAGTTAAATATGAGTTCAATGATAAGAACAAAGAAACTATTCTGAGCGTAGACTGCCTATCAACCTATATTACATTGTAGATCGATATGAATTCATGATAGGTTTTTGATATTGCTATATAAGTAATCTATTTGACTACTATAGTATTGCAGTAGGTTGATTAAATGTTTGCTGGAAAAATTGCATTTATTGTATTATTAATATTTTGTTATTACAATATGATATATTTTTTAAATTTATAATTGATAAATTTTCCAGTTTTTCATTTTTGTTTCATTTACTAATCAGAAATCATAATATTATTCTACATGAAAACGTTTTATCCATGTTGCGTGTGGGTCCGAGAGAGAAAACAAATATTGCGCTGATAATGATTTTTCGATTGACGCATTATATTTTCTATGATGTCATAATATGACTCATCGTGTTTCACGTAAAATTGTAGTAAAAAAATCTCCAAGTAACCTAAAGTTTATGTATGGAGTTAGTACACGTAATATATTATAGTTACTTCAAAAGTTATGCTTTCTACTGATGTATGTTAAGAATTTTGAACTCGTTAATACCATACTTCGTAATATATTATAAGATCACACGAACGTAAAATCTCCATATTTTGTACTGGTACCGCGTATGCAGTGCGAAAACATAAACATTTCCATAAATACCTTTTTTTTTTATAAAAATACCAATACTGAACATTATGTAGCTAAATTGCCTATCTATAACGCCGTGTTGTCATAATTTATTTATTATTGAAAAAACGCTAAAAAATTATCGGCGTAAGTCGTTAAGGTCGTAAGTCCAAAATGGTACATTTTACAGGAAAGTAAAAAACGTTTCAAACATTTCATCAGTCTAGTTCTCTAATTAGTAAAGATTATATCTTCATCGTGTATTACAATGGTGATAATATGGAGATATGACTTTTTCTAGGACGTCCCAAAAATCATTGCATCGGAGATACGACGATTTATAATCATCCATTACTTGGAGGATAAGATTATAAAGTTGGGGTTATGACCTTATCATAGGTACGATGCTTCTACTCTTTGTCTTAATCACACATAATACCACAATCGAAAAGAAAATAGAGTTACGATCTTCACGCGTTGACCCATTAACCTTATTAGGTAATATGTAATAAGTCTATGCCTTTACTACTTAGGCCGACTAATTATTATTAATTTTCCGGGGTGCAGAATAATTACCGCGTTTTGGAATGTGGTCTCTAATTTAACAAATTCAAAAAATCTTCAAGCTTACCTCTAGTCTTACCCTGGTGATATTACCTTGGCTCGTTTGTAGATCGTATTTGCGTGGGCCACCAAATTGATGTGCGACGCCGCACCCGTCGAGGCTTCAGACGCCGCATACGTCGAGTCGTCGGACGAGTAAACGTAGCCATTGTAAGTGTCGGACCATTCATACTTCCTATCAGTGGCCATTACATTCGTGGATTGATTTTCGATTTTTTTCATCGGAAGGGAAAAATCGGTACTTCAAATTGCACAAAACGGTTGTTAACTCGAAATAATAACATTATCGTAAGATACTGCCGCAGTACCTACTCTTGAGTTCGGTCATCACAGTTTCGTTGCCAGGTCCACCGTTTGTACACATCATAAGCTGTAACAGTTTTATTTTATTCGAGCTGTTTGTTTTCTCCGTGCACGCAATATGTATCGCGATCAGCTGTAACCAAATTCTTATTAAATATTAAAGATATGCTTACAATTTATTTTCGCCGGATGTATTGTACATGCATGCATATTATTATATAAGACCATTTAATCATCAAATGACAAAATAAATATACCCGATAGATCTTATAATAGAAATAATGCAGCCTTAATACACGTCATGTTATTTAATTTAAACCATTTACTCGTGGTTGTAAGTACTTCAATTGGACAATTTGAGAAGTTTGTAGTTTTGTAGCAATATTGATTGATAATTACTATACGCATATACATACATTTTTTTCGAATATGTGGTTCCAGGTTGTACATTACAACTAGTAACAACATTTTTACGATGGCGTAATTTTATATTGGAAAAACTTTATTGAATGTTCTCGTTAGATTTATGAAAATGCGACACGAAAATTAATCGAATACATAATTCTGCAACCTGCCGGCATGTCTACGATCAACCATCTGGTTTAAAATAGATATGTATAAATATTATATTATTATGGACGCTGCATGCGGCTTATTATTAGTGATGTCATCGACTGCTGAAATCAATTTATATGTGCGTGAAGTTGGCCTCCCGACTTTGTCCGATCAATTCGAAAAATGTGTCATTATTTTGCAAATTGTTTTCAGAATCTGCAAATCGACACTTTATTTTTAGCGAATTTTACAAGTTTCTTGGCAAATTCGTTTTTATGTCATACACGAATCAATGCCACTTGCCAGCTATTAAAGCGAAATCAATTATTACTCTATTCGTAAGCTAAAAATTATTTCACCGAGCCAATTTTTAAGGGCGTTTGCTCACATAGTCCAGATACTTGGTGCCATATAGATTCCACAATCATGTAATTGCATATTTTGTGTAACCACAATAGTATTATATACTATAGTATTTTTAAGAAAAGACATTCAACTTATCCTTATTAACCATTTTGTGTTATTATGTTCGATAATTATAGAGCAAAACTTCTAAAAAACATTAAAGGATCGGTATTATTCATCATACATGTATAAATTATATGCTTTTAGTTAAAAATTGATTGAACAATAAGATTTTATTTTATAATTATTTTATTTCTGATTTCTTATCTGATATCTTTTATTATTATTTTTTTTTTCAAATTTTTTTTTTCCAAACTTTTTTTTCCAAATTATTTTGTTTTTCCATTATTTTTTTTTTCAAACAATGGCAATTTTAAATTTTTAAAATATTTAAACTTATTTTGAGCTGCTTCAAAACACACCTTTATTATTAAAAATTAGATAGAAAATTAAAAATCGTTTTCATTAATACAACCACATCTTTAAAAAAGAAAAAATATATATAATAGAAAAATAATATGGAATGTAATCAAACAATAATACAAACATAAAACGATTTTAAATGTCAATAAAAAAATGTTCACTCAGTCAAAAGGCTTGAAAACAAAATTCCTTGTAACTTGTTCGCATACCTATTTTAAAACATTAAAGTTGCGTACACAAGATTTTTTTAAGCATTCAATGTTCAAATTTTGATTAAATTAGATAGTTACACAAAAAATAACAATTTGGTTATTTTATTTTAATTTAAAAATATTATATAATTTATGTGTAATTTTGAGAAACTTTTAAGTACCATTATAATAGCATTATATTTTACATAAACATTAAAAATGTTTCAACCTTCTACATATATAGCTTTTTAGAGTTTTTAGGACCAAGACTAATTGTGACTTCCAAGAACCTCAACTGATTCAAAAACTTAATTTATAACCTGGGTATTATCTAGTATTTGATATTTTTTATTATTGATATCAAATTCAATAGATTTATCATTAGATGATTGAATACAAGATTATTTCATTAACATTAACTATAAACTTTAAAAAGTTTGAAAAAAAACATATTGAAAAAAAATAAAAATAAATTTTGAAAAATAAAAAATAAAAAAATAAAATATTTTAAAAACAAAATGAAAAAAATACTAATTAAAAAATTTTTTTAAAAATTAAAAAAATAATAAAAAATTGATTCGAGTATGACATAAAAACCAATTTGCCAAGAAAACTTGTAAAATTCGCCAAAAATAAAGTATCGATTTGCAAATTCTGAAAACTGTAACCGTACCTAATGGTTTTTAGCTTATAATATTTTAATGAGTTATTTGCAAATTCTGAAAGTCAATTTGCAATTATTTGCAATTAATTTGCCAAATAATTGCACATTTTTCGAATTGATTGGACAAAGTCGGGGGGCCAACTTCACACACATCCAATTTATTATGCAAAAAGTTTTTGATTATTTTTAGATCGTTTAATACCTACCATTATTATTGCTTTCTAAGTCCAATCTGAAAATGAGCTGGTCCGGTTCCCTTACGATTTCACTCATTTTTTCGTTGTAACTCAGACAAATAATAAGTTAATTCGTCCAATTAAATGTAACCGCTCATTAAATAAAGTGTACAATTATACTACATGTTTCAAGTGAAACCGTTACAAAATGTAGTATATTTTTAACTAAAGGCAATTTTGGAAAAAAAATGCAATTATAGCCATGTGAATTTATGTTTATTATAGTAAACAAAAACCGTCAATTATATTATTTTACACTTGTACGTCACGTTGTTGTAACAATATGACAACATATATTAACTTGCTAAACGATTAGCAGAATAATGAACAACAAAATCCACCCACCACGAGTTTAAACAAGAAGAACATATTGACGATGGTTAATTTCATAGTTTAAGTATGATTTATTTTTTATTCCTTGTATCTTAAGCACATAAATATTTTTACCAATGGATGGACGGTGCGTTTATTTATGTTTATCGGTTTTCATCATAAGCTTCTTGTCTGTAACAGATGGAGAAAAAAAAATACTACTCATCAGAGGTTAGTAATAGAGTTTATACCATAAGACATGGCAATAATTTATGATCATGAAAATCAAAGAAAACAATTAACTTTGTTGCTATGTTCCTATAACTCAACAACTTCGATTGTACCCTTAGAATATCGATTTGGTCATAGTATAAATTGTTTGTCGCTTGTAGCTTTTGAACATAATATTATCATTTAAAATAGTAAATTATAATTTTAAATAATTTTTGTAAAACTCGTTGCAGATATATTTTACTTATTACTACAACCTAATTGGCTATTTAATTTATTTATATTTCTATTTTATTTATTTCTAACATTAAAACTATTATAATACATGTAGGTATATTTCTTAACGAAAATGTATATAATTAACTAAAAATAGGAAAATAATTATTGTTTCTCAATAAGTGTATAATGTATAAGTTATTTCACATTTTATTCACATTTCACAATGATGATTAATAGTTCTTGAATATTTTGAATTTTGAATTATATCAATAGTGTTACTGAATAAAGTATTTTTGGCTCAAATCTAGTTTATGCAGACAAAGTTAACCAAATTAAAATCGAAGTTGATTTGATTTTAACTATTCACTAACATTAAATAACACATATAATACCTAATGCTTAATATTTTTAAGAGTTACTCTAAATTTCAGATTCTTTGAATATTAAACCATATGATAATCGCCTTGGGCCAAAACAACTTCATATGATTGTTGCAAAAGCATTGACAGCGAGGTATAAGGATCGGAAGATGCTCGAGGTTTCCAAATCTCGTTATAATTTTCACGTAGCGTGGAGAGGAATAAAAAATTTTTTTTGGAAAAAAGTTTTGGGAGTATTTTGTCCGTCAATAGTTAGAGAATTGAAGGCTGTACAAGTATTAAAAGATTTATTGATACACCCTGGTAATAATAGTCTGAAAGATAAACTTGGTTTTAAACTTCCGTTTAAAAAATCGCAAAAAAAAATTAAAGAAGAATCTAGTGAAGAAGAAAACGATGAAGAAAGCAAAAGCAATGAAGAAAGCGATGAAAAAAGAGGCAAAGACAGTGATGAAGAAAGTGATGAAGAAAGTGATGAAAAACGAAACAGTAAATCTAAGAAGGGCAAAAAGAGGAAAACTGAAAATGATAGTGAAGAGGACGATGATGATAGTGACAGCGACGAAGATATAAAAAAAAAGAAAGCTAATAAAAGTTTAGATGATTTGTTTAAGTAATTATTAGTAAAATAAAAATATAACTTAAGGTATAACAGTACTGCAAAGAATAAAAACAATTGTAAGCTTATTATAAATTATATTACTTGCTCTTTCAGAAAAATCTAATAAAATATTTTGTTTCATTCGTAACAAAAATTGATAACAATTTTTTAATATAATTAAGATCAAATATATTAATCATTGAAAACAGCAAAGGAATGTTCACTTTAAAGCTGTGAAGTAGATCAAAGATGTGAAGAAGACAATACTAACTGATCTTTTAACCAACAAATACGACAAAGTTCAAGTTGGTATAGGTTGGGAAATTTTCAAAATGCACGGCAATGACCGGGAATATCAAAAATTCACTGTAATCAATTACTAATTAATATAACCGATATAAATACATAATAATACAATAATTATTCCAACATAGATAAAAACAAATATTTAAAAAAAAAAGCTGTTATACAAAATTTAAAAAAAACATAATATTACTAATAAAATATCAGATATTAAATATTCTTCTAAATCCTAATGTATTCTATATGTTTCTAATACATTCGGATTTGACTAACTCGAAATATAAAAGAGCACAAAAAGCTTAAGTTATCGTGTATAATGTATATTTATATTAATGCTTAAATAAATAGGTATTAGAAGGATAAACATACAATATGGATAGTCTGTTTATTAAATTTTTTAACATATTGTTTGTTATAAAAAAAATTTCTTCAAAAAAAATACAATTTTGAATGATATTATATTTTTGGAAACATTCCCTCTGTGGATGTTTATTGATTTTCTGGGAGTAGGCAAGTGCCAAACCCATAATTGTCAGTAATAACAAGTAAATAAAAAAAAAACAATTGTTTGTTATTTTATTAAATAATTTAATATAATAACAATAAAACGTAATATGTTTACTATAGCTTTAAACTTATAACAAACGATTGAACTTATAAATATTTAAACATTGAATTTTGTTAAGAGTTTATTATTTTTTCAACACTGGATATTTATTCGATTAAAGTATGCACGTAACGTAAATTGAAGCATTCGATTTACTCGCATAGTTTCTTCATATGACTCTCATCAATTGTTGTACTCAGTATATTATGAATTATATGAGTTTTATGTAAAATCGATAAACTTTATCAAACTTGGAATCAAAGTACTCGAAGTATATAATATATTAAGTGTACCTAACTTATATTCCTACCAACACAGACATGGATAATAACTAGTACTGGGAATTTAGCACCCTGAAAATCATTTGAAAAATTCAAAAATAATGACTCAAAAAACTAGAAAAATGTATTATAAAAGTGACTTTAAATTAATTAAAAAAAATATATATATATTACTATTTAAAAGTGTATTTTTATTTTTAAATAGTACTGTTAAATAAGTATTTACAGTAGGTATTAGTACAAGTTTTAAAAAAAAGTTATATAAATACTAAATAGGTAGATCTCATCGATTTGTCTTACTGTAGACTTCTGCTGAAGACTATTTATCTATGTTTTGACATTTCAACTAATGTTCGATAATGCTATTAATAATAATAATACGATTTACAAGTACCTACTTTAAAATCTTTTATATGCATATAATAAGTATGTTGGTGTATTTTATTTTATTTTATTCTGTATTTTTGTTTTTTTTTTAATATTTATTTTTAAATTATGTTTATATTTTGTTTCCAAAAATAATAAAACGCCATAAAAATTATGAAAATTACATAAAAACTAAAAAATGCAAAATTATCTTTCTTTTCCTCATTCAAAAGTACATAAAACAAATGTATAATAATACGAGCATCGCACTATCTTTGGAAAACAATACATCGAAATTCCAGCCCTAATAATAACCAATAAATTAGTTGGTTATTAGGTATTTGAAAGATGTGACGATATTCTTTATGCACAGTATTTGGTTAAGTTCTTATCCGTTATATAAAACCAAGAGAAGGTAATTTTTAATTGACTCAGAATTGGTCACACGAAACTCACACACGGACATTTTATGGCATAGAGAGATCCAGCCCTATACCCAACACGTAACACAAACTACTCCATCAAGCATATAACCATCCACTGCCCCAACTTCGGCGAAGTCGGAAAAGACTTCAAAATCCCGGACAACTTGTATGAAGCAATTGTGAAACATTTATGAAGCATTCTCGAACCTCCAAAATATAATTTCATATTTAAAAAAAAATCAATTTGTATAATAGTATATGATCTTTAATGTCAAAATAACCACTTGTAAGCTAATAACTTATGTAGTTGATGCTTAATCGCAATAAAGAAAAAAAAACAGGAGAGAAGAAGGTAACATTCGATACTGATCGACGGACATCGGCTAGATGAGAACAAAATTCCGAGAATATCTAAATACGGTCAACTTAGAGATCATGTTAGAGATAACACAATATTATAAATTATTTAAAATATATTACAGATGCATAATATGTTGACCACTTTGGCGAAAAAAAACGTGTATAAAGTGTAATAGGCTTTCAGCCAACAATGTAATCATTATCAAAGGTACACTTAAGTTTATACTAGGATCGGGCTTACAAATTTAGGCGTATGAGCTTTACAAATGTTTTCCCCGCCTGTACCAATTTTACAATACTATATACATAGAGAAAGTGGTCGAGATACAATTATTATTCAGTTAAAATCTCAACAAAGGAAATAAAAAGTATAATAGGAGGTATAATAGATGTACACTACGGTATAAACCATTTAGATGTTGAAGCCAGGTAATAATTTTTTTTTATAAATAAATCGGTAGTTATGTAATGTAATGACATTCGGTTCAACAAACGATCACATGATTTAACTTTTCCGGTTTTCTATTGTTCGTTTTTTTGTCGTGGTGGAAAATAGTTGGAATTAAAAAATAAAGTCATTAGTATCAAGCGTAGGTTTTTTGTTGTCGTGACCATCCGGGTTAGGTTAGCCTATTCCTTTATTCAAACGTAATTATATTATTGAATATTTGTTAGGACGGATTGCCGATAAGTCCGCTCTTGTAATCGGCTCATATAATTACATACTTAAATAATGTAAAAGTATTTCCAGGAAATTTAATTTCAATTCAGCAGTATTAATTATTTATTTATCACCAAAATATATGAATTAATTATAGTTAGTCATGATGCTCGAGACCATATCTTATCAAAATTTAAGTCATCAATTTTGTCCCTGAATTATTATAATGATCTAATATAATATTTTTTCTTGTACAAATATTAGTATTTAGTTAAAATTTATAATTATTCATAGGTGTTTCTTGAAACAAAATTAATATTCTTAGTTAATCTCAAAGGGATTGGAGCGGTTATCTTCTGTCTTTATCTAAAACACGTGGAACATAATCATTGAGACGTGTTTTCATTCCGAAGTACCGATTGATAAAATAATAAGCGATTAGAACTCTGAAAACCTATTTGAGTTTGTCGTCAAGTCCACTTGAGATCAACTTTCTTAGATTTTTAATTTTTTTGATTTTAATTTCTCCAAAAATGTAAATATTCCATTTCCTTTTTTTAGTAGGATTGTTTCAGGATTTATGGGGATAAAATCAAAAATATGGGAAAATCGAATGACAAATTCTGTTACAGAACTCTTATCTCTTTACTAGATCAATCCGTACTTTGGGATGAAAAAACGTCTAAATGCATATGTTCTACTTGTGTTAGATAAAGACAGAAAATCACAGCTTCTAATCTCCGTAATAAAAGATTAAAAAAATTATATGTTTTGTTCTAAAATGTTTCTTCTATGCAACTTATTTTGTATAAAATGATTTTTAAAATCTTCAAATTAGCTACAAGTTATATCTAGTTATATCAATATACGTAATACGTATATCCATAAACTCTTGTGATCAAACTGTTTTTTATTTGGAGTACGTTATAATATTATACAAAATACAAATACAAATAAGTTTAATTATGTTAGATTCATGCAGCTCTGATCTCTGAGCAATTAACTATAATATTAAACATAAATTTTCTTATATAGGTACACTGGAATGCGTACTTGATATTTTCAATTAAATAATTACAATAGTTTATTAAAAAACAAGATAGGTAGGTTTATAATATTGGTTAAGCTGTACGTATAGATAAAATAGAATAACTTATAATTGTTATTTTATTTTATTTTTTTGTTGAGTTATTATTTTTTTTTTACATTACAGCGAAAAAAATTAAAAATTAAACTTAGGGTACACTGAAGTCACTAATAATCAATAAATTAAAATAAATATTCATTGTTTTTATAGTTTCCAGTTTTTAGAATTTAATAAATATCAATTTTTTCCTTATATTATTAAGAACATTTGTTCCTAAATATAATGTAATTTACCCTAAAATTAATAATTGACTTCCCTAATTTTCTTTCGCATATTTCACGCTAACATTTTAACTAATGTGTGGTAGAAAGTAGAAAGGTTCATAAATTGTAGAATGTGAAAATAAATAGTAATATTTTTACTGTAAAATATTATAATAATTTCTGAATAAAAAACAATGTCAAGAATACAATTAATAACTCAAGGTTCTTCATGAAAAAATACAAGTACTCGTAGTTGTCATTAGAAGTGCGTTCTGTGTAAAGGAAAATGTTGAAACTTTACAAAATAGAATACAGGCAGTCAACCGTTAAAAACGATAGTATTCAATGACAAATACATTGCCAAATGGAAATATTTTAATTAAAATAATAGATTTTTAGAATTTCATAAAATTTTTGACTTCTGTAGGCAATACATGGTATCTGCTGAACTCTCATTATACTAATAAAATAAGTGGTATTCGATAGCAGATAAGAGTTTTTTGTTCATAATATTATCATCGCGCATCACAACTCTGCAACTACCTACATAGATATTTGTCGGTGTTGCGATGTATGTTTTGATTGAAAAATAAAACAGTACGATCACGAAACTATCAATTTTTACATTCCACAAGTATGCATTAGTCCACTATTTTGAATGTGTACCGTAAGTGTCGTGGCGTATAACATGACGGATGAATATTGTGCAATAACGTTCGACTTTTTTCACAGTGTCTGTCTGTAAACGCCGAGATTGACATTTTCAGGCCAATCAATTTGTTTATTTGGTGATGGCGGTGTGCGCTCATTGTCCTTAAAATAATATAAAAACACAGAGGAAATGCGCACGTTGCTGATGAATCACGTGATTGACGCATATATATATATATATATACAGGGTGAGATGTTGTGTCCGAGCATCGGACGAATGGCCATTTTCCCAGACAGCTGAACGACAACGGGAAAACGCTCAAACCCTACGTGCATCGCCCACCTTGTTTTTGCGTTATATTATTGTTTAATAATGTTAAAATATATTATTGTGGGCTCGATGATCACTGCGGGGAGTGCTATAATTGAGTTCGTCGCTGTGTGCATAGAATATAGTGTATGTATGTCATTTAAACGCGGTTTGAATGGGAAAATTGAAAAGCAATTATGAATTGACGATTACCTACCCGCTATATGAATAGTGGTCAATTATGAAAGTTGTACATTTGAATCTGTTTGAATGATAATTTATACTATATTATAATGATTCATCGCGTTTTCATAATTACGTCAAAATCGTAAAATTCGCATCAGATCTATTTTTGATTAAATCTCAACCACATTTCGGGTAAATGTAGCGTTACTCGAGATTATTGTGACGATTTGTCAATTGTCATTTCTCGCTTCAAAATTAAAATTAATAATACAACAATAGCTAGAGCACAGCTGGACATTTTAGGTTTATTATTTTGGGTATTAACATTACATTTCACTACAATATTATAATAATGGTATTTGGCCACTTCAGTCATGGATTTATATGAGTTACGTCATAAAAAATGTATACGTTTTGGAAACATTTAAATTCCCTTAGTGAATAACAAGAGTACAAAAATTTCCTGTGAGAATCAGTCAAAAGACGATAATACGTTTTCACTGGTATTTAGCAATTTACCAATGAAAAAGAAAAATGTATGTAGGCACAATATTATTGTAAATGTAAATAAATAACTGTCAAAGTGCCTTCCCTGAAAGCTTCTTAAATCCGTCATTCAAGCAAATAAATCGTTCATCACTTTCACTCATTGTGTTATTTTGAATTATTTGTAACAGATTGTGGATTATATTATAAAAAATGAAAAAACAATAAACATTTATAATATTAAAACCTGCAATAGCAGCAGAATTTTCCTCTCATTTTCACTATGTAAATACAGTTTATAAATAATACAGTCGCCTATCGTGGAGCTTCACTCAGAACGTTTTTAATTTAATAATTTATAATCACTTGCAATAACGGCAAATAATAAGAACAATATTACCAATATATAGAACATAATATTGGATCACACCGAAATTAGAGCAACGAGACGATTCGATTGTTCAATACAAGTACTGCTTTTTAAATTTATCGTCAATAATAGTTTTTATTTTTACTGCCTATAAAATTGTTTTCAACTCACGAGTATACTGTACTATAACATTTGTAAGCTGTTTATCTACGTGTGAATTCACAGAATTGTTTTGACGACAAACATTTATTTTGCCAATGTTCTATGACACAGTCGATGATTTTCAATAGTATACCGTTGTGGTGTTCTGGTAAACAATCTAAAATGTACATTCAATATTTGCATTTACTACAAAATATGTATGCCTCAAACGGAAATTGCATGAACGATGACTGTACCTAGTTGATGCATTAGAGACTGTTTTGGTATATCGTCTGTGTGATGTGTTGGATCCATAATGTATACAATAAATTCTGTCCGAATCCCTCAATCAATGCGACACCGAATCGTTATAATACTATTCACAAGAATTATCCAATCTATGCGTAATATTATTTAAGTCTTCATTGTACGTATTGTCAATAAGTTATAATTTAAATTATGTGATTTTTACACTTGTAAATATTGTAATCAATTCTGAAACCAAATTGTACCAGTCACAGAGGATTAGCTAAACAAACATGACATATAATATGCGTACCTACGTGTACCTTTATGCTATAACCACGAGTTATAGGAAGAATATTATTATTTTATCGTTGAAGTGAAATTCGAACAACATAATACCTATCAGATCACGCACCACATTCGTTGTATTATAACAAATGTATATTAATCCGTGTTAACCCATATTAATTTTGTTTTTTCATTTATTGAACATAAACCTTGGCGACAATGACAGTTAGGACAGATTTACACGATTTTTTATTTTTATTAATTTGGGTTACGTAAAAATGGATAAACGATTAACAAAATATACTTAAGCAATAAGTAGTATAATATACATAAACGCTAAAGATGTATTTAATTTGATTGAGTAGGTTGGCGGCAACGGTGGCTTTTACGGTGGCGGAGGTGTACATCAAATTATTTTCTGACTAACTTTCTTGTTCTTTCTTCTTTCTTTTCTGACAAAATAATCCCTGTAGGGATCTCTGCATCAAGGGTACAATTTCAAATTGTTTTTTTTTAATCTACGGCTTTATCGCCGTTGTTTATTGATTTTTATTTACATTCCGAGCGTACCGGCGTTCAACTTAAAGCTGTAGGAGCCAGCTATTTATTATGTGTCAAAAATGTAAGTAATTTTTAGTTGCGTATAGCGCGACGGCCGCATTAACACAATGCCTCGTAGAATAGTCACATTTTGATAACATTCATTTATTTGAAATACAATATATAAATTGTATTCAGTTCACACTTTAGACTCTGATTTTTAAACTAACACTTAAATTACAACAGGAAATAACATTTCTAAACTTTAACTGTATGTAATATGTATGTATTTTATTACAATATGATTAAACCGACATTGTACTTTAAATAAATTATTAATTGCAAATTAATTTATTGAGAAGATATTTTACTATAGTAGACTATATTATTAGGTTGAATATAACTAGTTTGAATTTAAGAGGTATTAAAATCATTTCGCTTGTTTCATTTACTAGATTTCCTATTTATTAAACTGGATAACGAATAGTGTACTTAATATGAATATTTTCCGATATCACAACCAATCTGCATAACAATTTGAATCCAAAAAAACGTCGTTGTGAACAGCTCCGCAAAAAAAATAATTTTCATTTTCATTTTCATTCAGTGAGATAGATCTCCGAAACCAGAGAGTGGATTTTGTTCTTTGGGGTCTTGTTACATTCAAATTGGCTAGGAGAAGTGCAGGGAAGATTTTCAAAACTTTATCTTTAATAGTTAGGTTAGGTTAGGATACAGTACTGTTCACTATACTGTGCTTTAAAAAAAATTAAAACACACTTTGATGTTTTTCAAGCCTTAATGCTTTGTAGTGAATTAACGATTGAAGATAAAGTTCTGAAAATCTCCACTGCGCTTCTCCTAGACAACGTGAATCTAACAAAGACCCAAACAACAAAATCCGTTATCCAGTGTCGGAAATCTATTACTTTAAATGAAAATCTAGCGAAAAATAACTCTTTTTGTAACTGTGAAGAATAAAGTAATTTTTTTCAAACATTTTTAATTTCACATTTTGTATCTACTATCGATAATCCTTTTTTTAATGAGCTATCAACCAACTTTCTAGCTATCATAGTTTAGGAAAAAAGTTAAAAAATATAAATTTTGGGACTATTCAACCCGACGTATTTGTGGATTCAAATTGTTATACCCCTTGGTTGTGATAATTAATATTTTATATATTAATGCTAGCTTAGTGACCCACTTGCTCATTATTACTGAGTTAATTTTTTTTTTTCATTTCAACTACCACACTTACTTGATTAAAAATCAAGAAAGTAAAAATGATCGAAATCTAACTATTTCGAGAGTTGTGGAAGTTTTTTTACTACAAGGAAAGTTTTTGTCCAAAAAAACTCGTCAGCTCTGACGCCCACAATAGTTTAGAACCACCGAATCAATATGTAATAAATAGTAAACATTTTATAACTGCACCAATAAATGTTCATATTATTACATTAAATGTCTATAAAAACGATTAATATTATAATAACCGATTTAAATGTATACTTTTCTATAATGTGTAGTTTAAAGGCATAATGATCTTTTTTATGCGTAACACAAAAACCAGTTACCACACACATCTGTAATTGTCATTTATTGCGCTACTGCAGTACATTTTATAACAAATAAAACATTTAGACAATTTAACCCGAACTTATGGTAATTATATTTTTAGTGTTTGACAAAGCTCGATATTAATAACAATAATAATAATTTCAACTTTTTTTGGTTAAGTGTTACACTTGTATCCAGACAGAGCAAATACATACTCGTTTCAATGACACGCACGTCAATCAAAATAATTTATTTAACATTATTATGGACTCTAACCTGCCCGTTCACACAATGTTTCTCTCTCCTGAGTAAGTAAAATAATTAACCATTTACATAAGATACATTTTACAATATAAGAATATATCAGATCAGCAGACAGCAATCAGTATAACATAATATATTATATTACTGTCCACAAATGTCTACTTATGTTTCATTTTCTATTCACACAATAATATAACACGAAACCACAGTTCAAAATGCATCATAAGCAAGCAATGCAATAATGTCATTGTATTTGAATTCGAAAAACAAAATATTATATTTGAAAATGTTTTCCATCAGTGGTTATGAAGTAAATATTTTAATATTTAAAGAAAAATTAGGTTTCACGAAAATTCTAAAAATGACTATACTCAAATATTGCATTATATTATGGTCAATATATAAATAATAATAATCTTTATTAAAAAAAATCCAATTTACTAGAACTAAAATAAATTTGAAACAAAAGAATTAAGTACAGTTATAATAATAATGGACTAGAGGAAAAAAGTGCAACCAATTAATTGGTTTTGGTAGTTAACTAGTATAACTGAGTTAGAACAATAAATTATTAAATTAACATGAAACATTAAGATAAAATAATTGTAATTATTAGTTTATTGAAATATTGATTTAATTTATAATAGTGATTTATTTTGTTTTCAGATCCATTAAATTACATTCCTCTTTTGACAAGCATTCAATCACTTCAAGCTCTTTCACTTAAAGTATCCGAAGAAACTTACGACAAAGTAAACGAAGGTACAATTTATAAAAAAAAATAGTTGTACTTATTTTTTCATTTTATAAATTATAATTTACAATATTATATTTACCTATGTGATTTACGTGTGATGACAATAATTATTAAAAACTGTATTATTAGTATTAATATTGTTTTCAATTAAATATTATGAATGCGTATGAAATATTATAATATACCATACGCGTGCCCAGTACTTTTTAAATTGTTGGTGAGGGTCCAATAATTTTTTTAATTTGTTATCCACTTCTAACATACAATAGTATATTATGTACAGTATACTTCAAAACTAATAGATTACTTATAAACGTGTTTTATGTGAAGAAAATTAGAAAACATATGTAAATAATGACAACTCATTTGGTAAGTAATATTTTAGTAGTATACAAATAATGTTTTGTACTTACTTACTCAAATAATAATTTATCAAAAAACGATCTACTACAGCACTAGTGTCTCTGATAATAATACTAGGACATAGCTAGGTATAACAATTTTAATTATATTAATTTTTTAGAGGACATTGTAACTTTTATGTATACCTACCTAGTACCTATCTTACTAACGCATACCATTATGATAATTTTACATTCAGAATAATCAATTTATTAAACTCTGCCATTTTTAATATAAGAGTGAAAAATTAATATAATTATTGCGAAATTGGAAGCCGAAAATATTATCTAAGGGCCTCAGTAGGATTTTTTTGATAATGCAATTTTTTAACAAGTTATGAAAACTATTAAATTTTAAATTTCTTTTATTATCATATTCAATAAATATATATCTTGTAATAAACTATATTGTAATGATATGAAAAATTGATAAATGGTGAAATTCGAATGGCACAGGGGTTGGGCTCAATATCAAACCTCTTCCTCCCATTTGGTATGCACTTGATATGTATTTACACTTAAATAAATATTATATCTAGTAATCTAGTATAAAATAAAAATACGTGTGTAAAAATATACACTTAAATTCAAAAATGTTTACTTTTTCAGCTATCAAAAACAACCCGAATCTGTTAAAGCAATTAATTGCTCAATCTTTGAATTCAAAGTCAAAATTGCCATCTTCACCTCAGGGAGTTCCAGTATTTAATGGTAAACAATATGATAGATAAAATTATAGTACAAATTATAAATATTTTAAAAATACATGATTGTAATTGAATTTATCATATTTTTCGGACAACAGATAACGATATTATTTTAGTTGACCACGAATTGTTGATTTCAAGCTGCAATTTAGGCATGTAGGTATACTTTAGGTATACTTCGTATGAATAAAATAAGTTGGTATATCTAAATATTCAAAGAATGCATAGATTCCAAGGATACAGTATACATTTTCAAATATTTTAGTATTCATTTAATATTTTAATCAGTAGTTGATGATGTATGAATTGTTTTAGGACTTTCAAGCATTTTTCCTCCTTATGGTACTGGTGTGTATCCCGCTAACAATCCTGTAACCGTAGCATTGCCGGGAGAATTCGTGGCTAATGGTCAGAAATATGTAGTGACTAATAGATTAAATTTACTCGGAAATTTCTTCAAAAGAGCAGCTTCAGCAATTACATCACCGATATCAAAATCATTAAATTATGTTCAAAATTTGGGACAAAATCAAGGAGTTCTACCCGATCTATTACACTCAATTTCAAATAGATTAAATAATGGCAAAGGAAATGAAAAAGAAAAAGAAAAAGAAGAAGAAGAAGAAGAAGAAGAAGAAGAAAGACCAAAAAAATCTAAAAAAAAAAAGAGTAAAGACAAAAAAAAAACTAAAAAAAAAAGCACAAAAAAAAAGAATGTAAAAAAAGAAGAAACAGAAGAAGAAGAATCAAAAGAAGAAGAAGAAGAAGAAGAAGAAGAAGAAACACGAAAAAAATCAAATAAAAAAGACAAGAAAAAAGACAAGAAAAAGAAGAAAGAAGTAGATGATGATGAAGAAGAAGAAGAAGAAGAAACACGAAAAAAATCAAATAAAAAAGACAAGAAAAAAGACAAGAAAAAGAAGAAAGAAGTAGATGATGATGAAGAAAGCGACGAAGGAGAAAAGAAAAAAGAAGATAGTGATGACGAAGACGAAGAAGAAAAAAATAAATCTAAAGAAAAAGACAGGAAAAAGAAGAAAGAAGAAGATGATGATGAAGAAAACAATAAAGGAGAAAAGGAAAAAGAAGATAGTGATGACGAAGACGAAGAAGAAGAAAATAAATCTAAAAAAAAAGACAAGAAAAAAAAAAAAAAAAAAGGTGATGATGACGATGACGAAGAAGAAGATGAAGAAGATTAGCACTTCAATCTCTCACACATTATCCGTTTATACTGAATATTATAGCCATTATACCCATTTATAATAAATCTTCAATGGATTTAAAAAATAAAAACCCTGGAGCAATTATTTTAACAATATTGATCAGTAATCATAATATTGTTGAATATTAAAGTACTAGACTAGATATTCATATTAATTTATAATAACTAATAAGAGATAAAATATTGATTATTATCGAGGTTATAATAATATTATAATAATATATGACATCGACATGTACGAATATCTAAGTTTAAATTCTTAAAATATTTTCTGCCAACAATATTTTATACAACATTAAATGAAATTATAGTGAATAATATTGAATAGTGAAGAATGGAGTAAATTAATAGGATCCTATTTAAAGTGAGGAATGTATTGTATAATATTTTTTATCATATTTTTGTGATAACGTTTTGGCAGAAAGAGGCCTTTAAAAATGTTGTATATCACATGTTTAACAGCAATAACCGTGCATGTTGAGTTGAGTTCCATTCATAATTGGTTTTCAAAAAAAGATGTGTTGTCGTTCCTCTTCAATTTAGTATTGTTAATATATTTACCGTTATCCGGCGGCGCCGAAAAGTCTAAAAAGTATTTTCAGCAAGTTCGATCCCGTTTTTCAGTTTTCGCGTTCACTTACAATTTAGTCTCTTTAGTGTCTGTAATGTGTGTTTGATAGCTACGTGTTTGATAAATATAATATTCATCTTAACACTTCAAATAAATGTGGAGTGCGAAACGAAAGACATTTAGACATCATAATCCATACTCATCACGCACGTCACGTCACGTCAAAATAGCTTATAGGTAGTTTGTTGCAGATAGTTTCGCCTTTTCATTGTTTAACGTAAAACACTAAATGTCAAAAATTAGACAATTAATTTTTTTTATGAATAACAAAATACGGAAACGGATGAAATAAATTTTATTTTTACTTAAACCTAAACCTCTTTTTTATATCAAGCAAATTCTTATTAGTCCTCGTGATACATAAATAAATGATCGTATAATTAATTAATTAATAGTAATTATTCATAAATAATAATAAAATATTGCCATATACAATATTATTATGATTTGAATTTGTCGGCAACATAATAAGGTTAATTAATAATTATACATAATATTTATCAGTTAATTTATACATACTGACGTGTTTTTCTATATATTTTTATTTTCATCATCCCATCGTTTTAATACAACTTATTATTTTCTTATTTGAGGATCATTTAATCATATTGCAACCATAAACTTTTATCAGTTTTCAATGACATAGATTCATTTTGAAAACTATTTGTTGTATTCTGTTGTATAGTTGTTGTATAGGTATAGGTATCTACAGAATATTATACAATTTACTAATTTACATTTTGTTAATTAAAAGTTGTGATACTTTCTAAGTGAGTGAATAACGGCTATTCGGCTTATTCGTTACAGAATGCAAAACGTCACGTAATTTATATCAAACCAACACGGAATATTTGTTCCTTATATTTTCTCAGAACGCATTTCATTTAGGTACCTACATACGTTTATCGATTAACGTGTTACTTATACTGTTACATAATAATTACTTAGATACAACAAACTATTTAGTTTAATTTAATCGAGAACATTATTATTAATATTATTGTATTATTGGAGTGAACGAGTCACATGCGCGAAAACTCTTCTCATTTTATTTTTAAAAACCACTAATTCATAAAATTATACAAATTTATAGGAAGTGTCATCAATGGCACCTTTCGACAAAATAATGTTAACCATTATGCAATATTTGTTACTTATATCCTTATTTATAGTCTCATTGTTTCAAATGATACAGATTGTATATAACTTGTAAAAATAAAAAAAACCACAACCACAAAAAGTGCAATGTTTTACGTAGGTAGGTACTATGTTTGATTAGAAATAAAACCGGTAGTGACTTTTTCACTTTAGTAAAACGACATGATTCATTGATGAGTATTTTTTTTTTTTTTTGGATTGATTAGTTATATTAGTTTATATTTATTGACAACATAAAAATTATACTGGTATTTTATTTTCATGTTCTACATCATTCAAAATGTCTGTTTGGATCGCGCAGTAAAATATATGTACCTAATTTTATGCGCTAGGATGTAAATAATATATCGATTTTCCACCCGTATGCAATAATATGAAAACCATAATTTAAAATAATATTCAACCGAGCATAAAACTATGTACATACATATATTAACATAAACGGGATGCATTGAATACAAGAGAATAATATAGCAACGAACTATGATGTTCGGAAGTGAAATACGCGTTTTAATTTAATTTCTGGTCTCGTGATATGCGCTGCATGATAAAAAATTAACCACCATATAAAGTATATAATACTGTAATATCTACTGGAATACAGAACATATCACTATCGTTATTATTATTATTATCATTATTATGTGCTCCGAGTACCGATTGACTTGTTGTAATATCGTCAGTTATTATTAGCATTATGATTGCGAAATTATATTATGCTTTATATCGATATACGATACCTAATTAATATTTACTAATAAGCACGTTGCCCAGCAACGGCTGGTTATTTAATCCTCGTGGCCGTATCAGATAATGTTGAATACTTAAAAAAAAGACTTCGGATATTCCCGAAAATCCATCTCAAAATGTCGGAACGAATCCATTAGCTAAACAACTCATCCACTCGCTAACTAAGAAATAGTGACGACGCATAAATATTTCACCTTTAATTATTGATGTAGTAGGCGTGCACTATTGGTTCATGCTTATGATGATATTATAACAATTAATATTATTACATTGTCGTGTAGAACATTATCATAATTTGGACTTGGGACCGACCCTGTAAAAAAGCACACAACTTTAACAAGTGGAATTCCTGAGGAATGTGCAGGTGGGCGACCAGAAATTCCTATAACGACTCATCTATTCTCTATGCATTTCACGTTTTTGCCGAAGAAAAAAGCGATTTTTCACTGGCCCACAGCTGGGACCTCATGTTCAAAAACCATTTTACGATGATCACGTCCTGCGCCCGACACCTTCTTGTCGTAATATTTTGGGAAAATGGAATATTATTACTAGTGGTCGAGAAAACCGCGGTATAGCACAACCACGGTCAATATAATGATATTTATAGATTTTGAGTTGATAATACATATTATAAGTATTTTCTCAGTATTTACTAGATCCGAACTTAATTTTAATAATATTGAGATTAGCAAATGCTATTAGTTACATTTTCAATTGTAATTATTTGAATAACACACAATCACTCATATTAGGTATACGTTTATTAATATAAATTAAAAAATGTAAACCATTATTGCTTTAAATTTTTATTAAATCAAAATATCGTTTTTAGTTTATTTAACAACAAAAATTCAAAAACCTCGTAATTGTTTACTTAATTATTCATCAATGGATTCATAATAGAATAATTGCCATCGTGTGATGTCTAACTTGTGTGTTGTCGCATTTACAATAATTTAAGATTAATTGTTAATACTGTGTAGTTTAAATAATAAAGGTTGAATGTACTTTTTTACAATAACAATATAACATAATACGACTTGTATTAGTTGTATTACTGTGTATTACTGTATTAACAGTGGAAATACTTACTGTGCTTATTGATATCTATTATACGCTATAATATTGTATTTTTTTTATTCAAAAACAAAATACTCAACAGTGGAGATAAACTTGTTAATCCAACACACATTTTATATTATTATATTTACTTACAAATAATAAGTAATAACTCTGCATAATTTAACAATAATTATGAATAATTAATACTAAATCTAGATAAGGTATTCAAGCTTACCGTCAGTGTTTCCATGTGTACCTACACTTATCTGCATTTACCACCCAATTCACAGACACTTAGACATCTCAGTTCGTAGGACAGATAACAATCGTAGTCAGTGCATGTATATCTTTAAAGTTCGAAGGTTTTATCCAAATTATTTTGCAACCATAAGCCATGCATATTTTATCAAATGATTTGAATGAATCAATTAATGTAATAATATATAGGTGTAGCTAGTACCGTAATAATTTATAAAGCACTGATTTTAATTATACAAACCGTTTACTTTTTACAGGCTGGGATAAATGATAAAACTAAATCTTTATGCCGATCGTAATAACATATTTTGTGCTGTGCCATTCATATTCACATGCGGTCACATATTGTCATGCCTTAACACGAGCTACACAAAATGCAGATTATAAAATAGCCTACATATAACCACGACGTCAAAATTCTAGTTTTCAACCTTATTTCCAATATTTTGGAAACGAAAAATCCTTAACTTGTATTAAATTTATCTCTTTACAATTTTTAGATGATATTTTAACCTTTAGTTTCATATAATATTATGTTTGAACGATTTATTTGAAATTGTGTGTTGGGGCGTTTGGGTTTTGGGTATATTGAGTTTAGAATTAATTTACATAAGCAAATATTATTCAATAAGATACATAATTTATTATTTCAATCGGATTAAATTAGAATTCATTATTTAACTGACCAAATGTGTAATAACTGACCATTTAAAATACACGAAAATACGTCTAAAAAATTTTTGATGTAAGATTTCCACGTTTGTATTGCTTGCAACTAATTAATAATTTTTTAATTTGCATCGATATGTATGGATATGATGTAATAATCGTTCATGTGTAAAATAATTAGCAATAACCAATTAAGTAGCTACATAATATAAAATATATTTATTATTTCACAATGGTTTATTTATATATACGTATTATGTAGTACTAATAGATTTCACTCAAATATATATTTTTACTTGTATTCTAATGTTACATAACAGTTTTATTTTTAACGATACAAAATTGAGTTAGGATTATAGTTTATTCTTAGTTTTAGTCGCTAGCAGACTAGTTTAATTAATCATTACTCATTATATAATATTGTGTTATACCTACTTGTCAGTTTGGTAACCAACAGCTGTAATACCTAAATAATGTATTTATGTATTTATCAAGAAACATCAATTCCCAGCGAATCCATTTTTTGGAGAGACTGTTTTTAAATAAGTAAGAAAGCTCTCGGCGAAAAGTCATTTCAGATATTATGATGACGGTAATATTTACAATAATTTGATGTAAGTATTATGACAGAAGAACACGTGAAGTAAGGCCATAAATTAGTCGACGAATAGCTCTGAAACGATCATATTATTGGGTACCGTCTGCGAAACGATTACTCAGCTGTGACTTTGATGTTTCGGAGTGAGAATCTGGAGTTTGTCATTCGCCACGATGAAAAAATATAAAATATCGCACAACTCCCCCCCCCCCCATCGATAGGAATGACACAGATCGAGCGGCGGACCAATCGTTCCGTCATTAATCTCAACGGATGTCGTGGTCGTGGTCGCGTACTGCTCGAGCTCTGCTCATTTTCGCGATCAATAACGCGGCCAACCCGCCAGACGAAATTGTTTGATACGTTAATAGACTTGGAGACATTATAAACGACGTCATGACGGTCTGCAGGGAATACGATCGTGGGACGATCGAAACGAGTTCGAAAGGTTTAGTTGGCGACGACGTCGTTCGACTCTACACACGTTGTCCGTACTCTACATTGGCGCCGCAGGGTCTGGCATGCGTCACGGGATGACTCAGAACGAATAATAATAATTATATGATTAGAGTGCTCTTCGGGTTTTGGTCAATGACTGTGCACGTAATTATGGGCTGTGGTCACCGTACGCGGTGATACACCCCTGTGCCGCCACCCATCGGTTTTGAAAAAAATATTTTCCGGAACGACGTCTGTGCGTAACATCACGCACGCACCCACCCACGCACGCACGCACCCACCCGGGTGCTCGGAAAATCAATATCCCCCACACGCCAAACATACATATTTTACTCTTGCGTCACGCGTCGTCGTCCTCTTCGGGGCAGGACAATCGATACACCCCCCCCCCCCCCCCCCCCCCAACGGGTCCGGCCGCGGCGGGGAAACGAGTGGCCGGCCCGGGTGCGGGTAGGAGAGGGGAGGGCACTCGGTCGCGGGAGGCGCCCCGTAGCGGCCGCCGCCCGAGTCTCTATAATATAGTCTGAGCGGAAAAATCGACCGCCGCCGCCGTCGGGAAAACCCTGGCAGTGCGCGCGGTAAAATTCACGGCGTCTGCCCTCGTCCGAGCTCGTCGCCGTCGTCCGCGCTCGACAACCGTCGCGCGCAACGTCACCGATTCCACACGGAGGTGTTCACCGACGGCCGTCTCCCGCGAGTCTCTTATCGTCGTATAAGGCGTCGTCGTCGTGGTCGTTGGGTTTCGCGTTCACCGCCGCAAGTTCTCGACGTGTGGCCGTCACCGTCATCCCCGACGAGGCGCCGCTCCCCTGTTCAGGCATCGTTTTCGGGGTTGTTATTTTTGTCCCCCCTCTGCGAGACCCGATGTCGTTGGGCCGAGTCCAGTACACCGCAAATGCCACGGCACAAGTAAGAATAAAACCGTACAGAGTATACTACACGACATTAATACATATTATTATATATATATATACATATAGAGCGTAGCTTAGATATTTTTTTGTAATTGTTATTGTTGTTGTATTGTCATCGTACACTCTTTTGTTCGTCGCGTCCAAATACACGACCCTCGTCTGTTGTTCTCGGGGCACAGTCGACAGAAACGGTTTTCCGGCTTTGGATTCGGTCGGGTTTGGAGGCGTTCGCGAGACGCGGAAAATGCGAGAAAAAAAAAGGCAGCGCCGAAAGGACGCCGCCGTCTATGTCTACGCGGACCGTATATAGGTCACTGGGCAAGGCCTGCGTACGCACACACACACACGCACACACACACACACACACACACACACACACACACACACACACACGCACACGCACACACACACATAAATATAAATACGCGATATTATAATACAACGAGACGACGCGGCGCGCGCGCACACACGCCGACGACCTTCACTTTGTGTTTGATTATATCGTCCGGATTTAAACTCGAGTAAAAAATAATCGCGACAATCGTTCTGAGCCTCTGACGAACTTTCATTGTATGCCATGTATTTTATGTATTGTGTTTGTACGATTTGTGGTGTGGGCGGGCGAGGGAGTGGGATGTTAACTAAAACGACGATTTGCTATTTTATTGTCAGTCTCCGCCAAAACGAATAACAACGCGCACAAACACCCAATTCACGAGTCTATCATTCACCGATGTAACAACGATTCGTCACATGATATTATATTGTATTTCGGACGATATCATCATGCGGATCGTTGAGTTTCTACGGTTGGCTACGTTTTGGATGTGAGCGATCGCCCAGAAAAACGTATGATTGGTTTCGTATAATATTGTCGTACGCCGTCCGACATTCGGTCTATTGACTGTAATGCGATCATATCGCGTATCAATGTGTGTGTTATCGACAGCTCGTATGATAATAATAATAACGAGAATTGCACTATTATCGTATTATTATTATTGTTATTTCGATCGTATACGAAATCGATTATCCGTCACGCGCAGTGCATACCTACCCACTCACTATATTACAACTACCGCAGCCAACTAGTTTAATGGGCTGGTGACTTTTCCGAGATTCGTCTTTTACTAAATTGTAAAGAGATAAATCTAAACCTCTCGGTTGGTCAGTAAATAATAAATAAATTAAAAGATGAAGTTCACGCCGTCGTCGGATCGGTTACTTTTCGAAATAATCAATTCAGACAGTATACTTACACTTTATTGTATCATCTATGTCATTAATGTATTATCGATTCGGTACTTTAGATAGAATTTGGATCCAAATTGACGAAATATTTATGTTTTATGCTAATATATTACTAGTGCCTCAGTTTTAAAATCGACGGTTTTTGTATTCAATTGAATTCGATTGTGTGTATTATTATCATGCGTATATCCAGTGTCGTGCTAACTCTCATTAGCGCCCCAGGACAAGAATACTTGGTGCCTCTATTAAACACATATATTTATACATTTTCAGCCTTTTAAAATGTTACAACTTTTGCCATTCTAGGACACTTATACCGGTGTACCCCCCCCCCTCCCACGCACGGATATACATGTATTTTACCTTGGTGTACCTACATTGACAAACCAAACGTTATTTCAAAGTTAATCGTTATTTTATTTTATTGTTCTTAATTTAAAAAGTTTCAACAAATTATACGTTTACTTGAGTTTCTCAATAAAAATACATATTATGAATATAATACTACGTTTTTAATGTTGACGATAACAATACTCACTTAGATCTTATATTCACTTGGAGAATTTAATAACATTTCAGTTTTTATTGTGTATAATGTATACCGAGAGCTAAGGCCTGCCGCGGTCGTAGTTTCATTGTTCCAAGCGACAACCGCTCTCCGTTTTTATGTCCAAATTGTAATTAATAGCTTCTTCGAATCTTGAACACATGTTTATTCTTATCTTATACGTCTGTAAATATTAAAAAACACACGTCCTGTGTATGTGTACACGATAGATCATTATTTGCTCGTACACAATGCACCGATGTATTACATAAATATTTTTACTAAAAATTTATGATGATGTATCGTGTTCGGTTTAATACCTTCCACCAATATTGATCATAATATTTGTGAATAAACAAAGCAATGTGTCAAGTTCTACAATGTAAATAGGTTAAAAAAGCCGGACAAAAAAATGACCCTTTAATTCAGAAACCACCACCATAGTCCAAAAGTAATTTTTTCTCCACTCTTGTTTTTGTCCGGTGATTTTTTACTGGTTATTTTGCCAGCTGTCACTTACACAAGTCTACCTTGCAGTGATTGATCCCAAACCAAACTTTTCGACGGGTCCTTTCGCTCTTCCGTGTCCCACGCCCCTTCTCGGAAACTGCTCCAACCAAGAGACAACTTCGAATAAAATTAGTATTGATTGGAAGTAGGCACTTACTATCTTTTTTTTAATGCATATTTTAATGATTTTAAGAACATGTCATAAGAATATATTATACATCATGATTTTGTTCGTATGTGACTGCATTATAATTTTTAAACTCTTGAATGAAATGAGATTCTGTACCCTACACTCTATATACTGCGTATAAATGATAATATTTAGAAATAACGAAGTACAAATGAAAATTGATGATGTTTTAACTTGAACAAATCGTGGCCATTACATAAATAAGTACTACTGATTCCGTTAATACTGTTTAATATTATACATTACAGTATCTAAAATAAATTTATATAAAATAAATAATAATATAATGCACCACTCACATTTATTATTTATACGATACACACTATATTAAGCAATGCAATATCGAACGAAATAATGTATTATATAATGTTACGAATTTAATCAAATTAAACGTGTTGCCCAACTACAGTTACACTGTTATAAATTTATAATTACTTTTTTCCGGGAATAACTATAATGCATTTTAATTTTGTAATTCGGTTAGGTTACTGATTCGATATTATTTCTGCAGACACTTTTTATCGAAATATTCTATTTTCCTATACGAGTGACAATAAGCCTCACGGCTCAATTCCGTGTACAAATTGAATATAAAACCTATTTCGAGAGGGAGTATTCGTCGTCGGATCGGACGAGATATTTATTTTGTATATCGTTTCTGGTTAGGTTACCAGACAAGGTAAATATCATTTTCTTTCTAGCTCATTTCATTCCGCTGATTTCCCGTAGCGGCCGTAGGTACTAATCGTGAAACCAACACCGACCGTTTATTAACAGCAACCGACTGCGGCGGTGGTTAATAGTTTTCTTAATCATCGGTTTTTATTTTTATTTTCCTACCAGCTTGGTCATGATGGTAGCCCGACGAGACAAGGTTTTCTCCGATTTGGGTGTCGTCGTTAAATCCGCGTTATCTCTCGAGCACACGCCACCGTCACCACCCGCCGGAGTAATAAATAATAATAATTGTTAAACTATAATATTATAACGCTACGTGATAATAAAAATTATTATCAATCAGCCTACTGGCCCTTATCGACTGCGCTTACTGTTAACTATGTCGGTCTCATATTATGTGCCATATTACCATAATAAGGAACATTATCGCACGTTCGTTTTATGGCATATCATAGACGTACTCGGTGCGTAACCGGTGACTGTTCAATAACGATTGTCGTTATGTCGATATTATAATATAATGATACATCATAATAATTTAATAATTTGTTGTGTACGTTGAAGTGCATTACCCAATAAAATATTATTGTTTTATAATCTATCACATGTGATATTGGGCTTGTATTATGCTGTTATTGTCTATTAGAGTTTGGACCGGCGACCGCGGTCCACGTGCAGTACATTTCTCATAAAATACATCTATATATATATATATATACGTATAACGTACTACGACGTATCCCTCCTGTTGGTGATTTTTTTATTTTCCTCTTCGCCACGTGTTCTATTTTGGGATCCCGTCGTGAGATCGGTCAATTGGTGAACAAAACAGTACTGCAGCGACAGCAGCAGCGGCAGCATCGCGTCGCCTTTTGTCCACAACAACAATAATAATAATAATAATAATAATATTAATACAAATAATGTCGTAACGATACGTCATGATCAACGCGTGACGACAGTGCCGCTAGTCGTTGGTCCGACGGATGATCGATACTATAATAATAATATATCATCGTAAACCGCACATCCGTCGGCGACGACGTGACGTTTCGTACGGTTATAATATCATACTTGGGAGGTTTTTTTTCTAAGTTCGCGAAATCCTCTTTTTCCGCCACCGGGTACCTAACCTATAGCGATAAAGATTTAAGAAACGCGATACGCCCCTGCACCGCCGGCACAGGACGAGAAGAGATCGTAGTTAGAAAATTTAAGCGGTCGCCGATCGATTTTTCTTATACGGTACGTAAAACAGCAACGGTCGCTCACGCAACAATAATTGTTATATTGTCGTATATTATCGTTTATCGCGTTCGAGTCAGTTGTTTATAATGATAAATTATGCACCAAGGTTCGTGAGAGGGGGGGGGGAGGGGTTATCTTCGCCATAACAGTACTTGCGGTGTTACCGTGGGTACGCGGTGATATAATTCGTGCAGCTCATATTTTCCTCTCGCCGCAAAAAAACTTCTGGAAACTCGGTCGGTCGCGAAACTTGCCGCAGACGAACAGATGATCCGTAGTCTCGCCATGACATATATATATGTATATAAATATTTAATCTTTATTTATATACTCTGTGCTTATACTATACTCACGCCAGACACCTAGTTACCTGCTATTCTACACACTAGTTTTTTGTGAGCACGCGTGGTCGTACTACACGTTGTAATATAACATTATTATTAATTACCATTTCTGAGCCGAACATTTTGGGACGCACCAAAGTTATTATGAGTTATGTTTGCATTTCGCACCAAATGTATAACGTACAATAGTATTATTAATATTTATCCAGACAGTTTTCACGACATCATTATTGTTAATGCAATAGATTATTGCAGTCTATGCACGCTATATTTGACATAATAATATTAATATATAACTAACATTATAATAGGACAAATTTAAATGCACCTTGAGTCCGTGGACCATTCTTTTCAACAATATCATCAGCTGTAACTGTTTTCATTCGTAATATTATGTTTATCAATCAATTATTTTTGAACGATGAAATTTCTGATAACATGAATGATTTATACGCAGCCACTTTGAATAACTAGGTAGGTAGGTGAATACCTATTAGGTAACACTGATAAAATATGACGAACACAATCAATACCATTTATAATTTATTACAGATGTCACTTTAGAGTGTACTGTTAGCTTATATGTGACTAGGTGGTAAAGTGTGAAAAAAATTCCAATATAGAGGATTAATTTTTATGGTACAACGTATTTTGTCGTACAACAACCCGAGTACTAATATTATGTACTTAAATAAATAATAATATTAGTACGTGCACTTATCTATTAATTTGTATTTACACAGCATGATGTATAATGAAAATATAAATCCTAATAAGATAATATTTAAAAATTATAGCCGCAGTTTCATATGTGATTGTGTGAACACTCAATAAATTGTAGCCTTGTAGGATAGGTACCTATACTGATCAAATTTAATCATATTTTAATATTCAAAACACATGAATATACAGGTATATAATTATATAAATTGTAATTATTTACCTTATTATAATATGATTGTATAGTTACAAAATAGTAACTATTAGTAACTAATAGTTTAATGAAATTATTTTTAACAGTGTTTTAAACAAGCAAGGTACAAATTATAAAGCTCAACATTTCATAGTAATTAATTTTGAATGACCATACTTATACAATATAATACTATATAATATTCGTTAATGCATTTTTTGCTTATTTGATGTATTAAAAACAGAGAACAACAAATAACCCAGTGTTCTTGGTTATATAATGCTTATTATATCTTAGGTAGTGATTATCTTGGTTCAATCATGAAATAACATTTAAATAATTTATTCACATATTAATATAATACAAATATACATACATATATATATATATATATATATTGTACATTGTACTAATTACTAACTGTATAACAGTGGTTCTTAACCTTTTTCGAATGACGGAACACTTAACATTTTACAAGATTTTCGCGGAACACAACCGTAAAATAAAATAGTAGTACACACATTTTTAATTTTTTAATATATTAAACAATAATTAATGTATAGCATAAAATTGTTTGCATGCCATACATGTTAGTGTTAGTCACTAAAAAATAATAAAATAATAAAAAGAGTTAAAAAAAATTTAAAAATTTGAAATTGAATACTTTGTATGAGATATTTGTGCCTGATGATTTTTACAGATATTTTCAATATCTGGCCGTATGTACGATATTGCTACTCTCATTTCCTCTTCAATATTTGTCAGCCTTTCTCGTTTCTTTGTTTTGATATTCGTCAGTGTTGAAAATCCAAGCTCACATAAGTATGATGATGAAAATTGTAATAATATTGAAATTGCTTTTTCAGAAATCTTTTTAAATTCGGTTTGAACTGAAATCCAAAATTCTTCTACTGTTCTTTCGGAAAATTTTATTTTTAGAGTTCGATCTGTTGTTAGCGTTATGAATTCTTCCTCTTCTTCTAACGTAAATTCATAACTTGACGTGTTGATGGTAGAAAATGGATCTCATCATTGAAAGTATCATCATTGACATTGCTTGTATTTGTACTTGCATTATCAGTACCAGAATCATGTTTCCGTTTAAGAAATTTGTCAATTTTGTCAAAAAAAAAACCGTGGGCAACGTACTAATACTAATGTATTTTATAACTTTTATTAGTGCAGAAAATAAAATTGTCAATATCTATACGTTTGTTATCGCAGTATGGTGGGGATTATCGTATAATATAATAATAATAATGTATATTAATATATTATATAGTATACTGACACATTATATTATTCGAAAGTTAACGATAACGTTTTTGTGTACAAAAATAAACCAACAAAACCTAAAATGATTCTATTTTGAAAGAATTTTTTTTTCACTGATTTTAAAATTTTTGCGGAACACTTATACGAAGTCCACGGAACACCTGTGTTCCGCGGAACACCGGTTAAGAACCACTGCTGTATAACCAGACTTCACCCGCTAAAAAAATTAACAAATACATCAAGATCACCTATATATATATATACGAATATAATACAATTTATCATAATATTAAATGGCACTATATAATAAGCGTATATCCGAGTTTTAGTTCAATTATTATTATTATTTGTATCTTACATTACTTTATGATTATTAATTATTATATAAATAACTGCTAATACAATATTTTTTATTTTTGTTTAGAATCATCAACCTATCACTTACGGAACATGCTGAAAATACACAAGGGACTAAAAAAAAAGAAGAAAAATAAGAAAAATAAACACAAAGAAGAAGAACTTTTCAACGAAGAAGAACTTGAAAAATATCGTCGAGAACATCAAGAGGGAAAAGAAGCCGAAGGTGAAAAAGACGGCCAAGAAGAGTGGCAGAAATTTAAAGCAATCACTGCTGGAATCGACGATGTCTTAAAAAAAACACAAGGAGATCTTGATCGTATTAAGACAAACAGTTTCTTTCAAAGGAAACCTACACAGACTGAACTTAAAGCCGCTGAAGATAAACTCGAAGCTGAAAATAAGGCAAGACTAAGAGAAGAAGAACGCCTAAAATCTGAAGCTGAGGCTCGGACTGCAGCTAAAGCAGAAGAAGAAGCAGCAGCTTGTGCACAGGTTGAAGAAGAATCGTCATCAGAAGAATCAGATAATGGTGATGATATATTTGACACTTCATACGTCGATGTTATAACAAGTGGGGAAGTAAAACTTGCATACATTCCAGAAAGCCCAACTGAAGAAAGCACAGAGTTTGATCCATTTGATACATCTATAGTAGACAAAGTAATCCAACCTAATCCATCAAAGAAGAACAAAAGGTACATTAGTCTTGGGTGTGCGGTTGAAGTTCTTTCTGGCAAGGAAGTCGATATCAATCCAGAGGTATTTAGGTCAACTGCTGTTCGAAAAAGACCTAAACCTGTAAATTTATTATTGGAGAGTTTTGACGAAAGCAGTTCAATCGCAAAACTTGTTGATGACAAACCAGTAAAAACATTACTTGATGACGATCCAGATTTACCTACTGACGCATTACCGTTAACAATAGTTACTCCTATTGAGATAAAACCGCAGCCGATTAAAAAAGAAAGTAAAAAAACCCCCGAACAAGATATAAGTCAAATTATCAACGAGTTTGATACACCGCTTATTTTATCTGAAACTGTAAACACACAATTACAGTTTGATGACGATATTGACGACGAGTTCGCTGCATTAGCTGCTGAATCATTGTCTAAATCTCCTTTACCGGAGGACGTTGATCCTTTTGATACGTCTTTTGCAGATCACCTTGTACCTGCAGTCAACAATCTCAACATTGAAAGTGAACAAATCAACCATCCAACTGATAAAAAGGTAGCTGAAAAAGATTTTTTTGAAATTGTTAGACCACTAAGTGTTGAACATAGAGATTTGTTGGGTGGAAGTACAACAGATTTATCAGTTATTGGGCATAATCCAATTGAGCCTCATAATCCAGTATCTGAAACTACGCACATTGATCCATTTGATACATCGATTGCAGAAAGTTTGTTACCAGGAAAAGGAGAATTAAAATTACTCGAGAAAGAATTATTAGAAGATTCTAAAGCACTCTGTAAAAAAATAATTATTGAAGAAGACGACGATTTTGATCCAAGAGCTGAAGACATTGTTCGACCAGCTGAACTAAATCTAAAAGAAAAGAGAGTTAGTATACCAAAGGTAACATTTGCGTTAGAAAAAGATTTGTTAACTGACGACCATCACGGTGAGCTGCATGTAGCAAAACCATTGACTCCATATTACCCACAGGACCAACCAAACGAAGGCAATTTTGAAATTGATCCATTTGATACATCATATGTGCAACACGCACCTGGAGAGGTGGAATTAAAATTGATAGAAAGCGAATTAGTGGAGACTGAATCAAAGTGTACAGATATACTGACTGAAGAAGAATTCATACCTCACATACTTCACACGCCTGTTGAACCAGAAATTGCCGTTCCTGAAGAAATCGATCCCTTTGACACTTCATTTGCAAACGACGCTGCGCCAAGTCAAACGGAAATAAAATTATTAGAATCTGAATTTATACATAAATAAGTATGGCAAATCCATTTTTAATCGGTGACACAACATCTACCTTCACCGATAATAATAACACTTTTAATCCATTTTTAACTAACACAGCAGCAGATTCAGAGCCTCAGAATGATAATCCATTCTTTTCAACGTTTGGTGCATCAAACACTATTCCAGACAACACAAATCCATTTTTGGCGTTCTCACAAAATCCTGAACCAGCTCAGTCAGTGGTTGACCTGCTGGGTATTAATGAAACTCCCCAGACTACTATAATAGAAGATGCATCTAAAATGAAACCTCCACCACCGAGACCGGCTCCACCAAAAAGACCACCACCTAGACCAACACCACCACCTCCACCATCACATGAAGCCAAAGAACTCATTCTCAGTGTAACAGGAGAGATGGATGCGACTTCATTACATTTATTAGACAGATTAGCAAAGACCCCTAGTCCCATTCCAATGCGAGACTTATTAACTCCAAGCCCAACACCAACAGCTGACTTACTAGGATGTGAGGATCTTCAGCCTCCTATAAATTCTCAAATGTCAAGTGTTTTTGACCAACAATCAAACATTAATGATCTTCCATCAGGATTAAAACCAGAAAGACCAAAATTTCCACCCAAAATTGATTTTCTCATGGATGATTTATTAGAAGATGTTCCAATACATGAAGGTATACAGCCTGAAGAATGTTTAGTAAAAAATAGAACTCCATCAATCCCAGAAAACCCACCATTAACTGTAGAATCGAAACCGCCTTCAAGAAAATCTTCAAATGAATTTATTCTTCCAGTTAGAAGATTATCCCATGACGTAACAGAATCAAGAAAAATTATGCCTGATTTAAGTAAAATAGCAGATCGTAGGAAATCAGATATAGGTCATTTCGCACCGATATTACCTTCTAGAAAACCAACCAGCCAAAGTGATCAGTCACTTTTAGAAAGTAAAACTGAAAACATAATTCAAGAAATCAATGAACCTGAAGATAAATCATGTGATGAAATGCTTAAAAATACACCAGAACCTAATTTAGTGCTTACTGAAGAAATCCCAGACCAAAAAGTACAAGAAGAAATTATTCCCGAAATACCTAAAGAAATAAACGCCGAGTGGGATGAAGAAAAAAATGGATTAGATTTTGATTCACAACAGCAAATAGAATCTTCTGATCACATTGAAATTGATCCTCCATCGAATGATACAAAATTGACGCCATCAGCAACAGACCTTTCACCGTTAGAATTGACAGAGAAAGAAAATTTGTCTTTTAATGCGTTTTATGTAAATACAACTTTACCAACATCTGAATCATTTCCCTCATTTACTGATGGAGATGGAATGGGAGAGCCCTTAGATATTGATGCATACGATACAAAACCAATACCACCAGTGCCTGATCCGTCGCCTTTCCAAGAAATACCTACTCAGGAAACATCATTCAATGCTGTATTTGAAGTGCCCGAGGAAATAGCGACTACACCATTCGAAGTTCAAGAGCCACAACAATCAGACAACATTGAACCGGCTGTAACTACAAACGTGCCAGATCCATTCCCGGTATCAACAGGGAGTGAAAATCACGACGCATTTGATGCATTCGCTGCAAAATTTGACGATTCTCAAAATGATGGAAATACATCTGGAGTAGCATTCGACGCATTTGGAAGTGTTTCAGGAGGAGCGTTTGATGATTCAACAATGGGTTTTGGAAACGATGATAACTTTGATTCATTCTTATCAACACATCAAATTCCCGCTGCGCCACAATCAACACCAGCTAAAGTTACCAGAAATAATTCCGGAGAATCTTTAGATGAAAATGATTTCAATGTCTTTATTAGGTACTTATAGTTATAACAATAATATATATATGTACAATTGTCTTAACTATAATATTATAAAACTATACATTTTTAGACCTAAGACAGAATCAGACAACACCGATCAATCTGCTGTGCCTTCAATAGCTCCTCCACCTAAAGTACCTACAACCTTATTCCAAGAAGGCCCGCCTTCTAGGTTTAATCCATTTGATCAAGAGCCAAATGAAACGAATTATAAAAACCAAGGTAATGAAAAATTATATACTATAACGTTTATAACATTAAAATATCTTTTATAATTATTGACTCTATTAGATACATACTCTCCTCAACCTATTCCTCAACGAAGTGATTCTCAAGAGACACCACCAAGTCCATTGTTTGATGAAGATGTCTCTCAACCCCTTGAAGAATTTCCAAGAGTCAATTACAATGGTGATGGCTGGGCAATGGAATTAAGACAACCAAATAAGAAAAAAATAACTGCTCATCGATTTTGGAAAAAAATATTTGTTAAAATTACATACCAGGGAGAAAATCCTGTCCTACAATTGTATAATACTAAAGATGATAAAGATCCATTCCAAGAATTACCATTACAACCAAGTTATTCTGTATCCGATATTGGTAAGTATCTATTAAGTTATTATAAACGACATTTTTTAAATGATAATTGTTAATCCTTATTATTTTTAGGAGCCCAACAATATGATCAATATGGCAAAATATTCACTGTGAAACTGTTATATATATTCTATAAAGAAAAAGCCGGATTTAGACCAGGTCAAGTAACAAAAGCTGAAAGGCTAACCAACAAACTGAGTCAATTTGCAGCTTATGCTATTCAGGGTGATTATCAAGGTGTAAAAGAATTTGGTAGTGATTTGAAGAAATTAGGATTGCCTGTAGAACATGGAGCTCAAGTAAGTTAATTACCACAACTATCAATATTTATGTATTTTATACTAGTATATTAGTGTGTATATACTTACCCATATAATTATTATATAGACTACGACATTGTTAAAATTGGGAAGTCATAATTTTGAAGACATGAAACAGTTTAGCGTTTGTATCGAGGAAGCCTTATTTAAGCTTTCTGCGCATCGTGATAGAGCATTGAATTATAAAGTAGAAGATGTGCAAATTACTGCAATTGATGAACTATTTGTTGACCAAAATTCACAAGGATCAGTACTAAAACAAATCGCACGGGTCCGTTTGTTCTTCCTGGCATTCATGTGTGGTAAGTATTGGAGTCAATTTTCAGTTTGAAATTACATTATATTCCTATTTGTTAATGATGATATTTCAGGAATGCCCGATGTTGAGCTGGGTGTAAATGATTTAGTTCGACAAGGCAAAGAAGTAGTCGGTCGTCATGATATCATTCCGGTAGTTACTGAAGAATGGATTCGGTTGGAAGGGGTTGAGTTCCACAATTGTGTACAACAAGATGAATATGAGAGAACAAGAACTATAAAGTAATATTTTACTTAACTTAATTAAAATATTTTATTTATTGTTTCAAATTAACAGGTTTAAGCCTCCAGACGCTTGTTACATCGAATTAATGAGATTTAGAGTAAGACCGCCCAAAAACCGTGAACTTCCTTTACAATTGAAAACAACAATGTGCATAACAGGAAATAAGGTATCTACCTAATTTTAAGTTTAAATATAACTTAATTTTGATGTTAACATAACTTTGATGTAAATATGTTCAACAATTTTAGGTGGAATTAAAAGGAGATGTGCTTGTACCAGGATTCACAAGCAGGAAATTGGGACAAGTGCCTTGTGAAGACGTAGCCATCAAGTTTCCAATACCGGAATGTTGGATATATCTATTCAGAGTAGAGAAGCATTTTAGATATGGATCTGTGAAATCTGCACACAGAAGGTATTTATAAAAATAAAACAAAACCTTTTTAAACACTATTTGCTTATCGTTTGTTTACTTTTTATTCTAAAAGGACGGGTAAAGTGAAAGGCATCGACCGATTTCTTGGTACAATGGACAATCTTGAGCCTCATTTGATTGAAGTGACATCTGGTGAGGCCAAGTACGAACATCATCACAGAGCTGTAGTGTGGAGAATGCCGAGGTTGCCAAAAGAAGGACAGGGTATGATATTGCGATATAAACAACCACTACACGTACTGACCAATAATATCGGTCATTTTTTTTTCAGGGGCGTACACTACGCACAACCTCGTATGCCGCATGACCTTAACGTCGTACGACCAAGTACCCGAGGAGTTGGATAAATACTGTTATGTTGAGTTTACAATGCCGACAACCCAGGTGTCGCACACCACCGTTAGGTCGGTATCGATTGTAAACAGCGAAAAAGATTCACCGCCTGAAAAATATCTGAGACTGATGGCCAGACATGAATACAGGTAAATTGATTAAGCATTAAATACTATAATTATTGTTTATTAGATTCTCGGTAAAAGTATCTTTCACAACATGTAGGAGTGCTTAGTTATAAGTAGGTACTTGTCTTAAGAATTGTAATAGAACATCGTTTGATTTCTATTGCAATAATTATTATTCATTGGAAATTTTCCGCAGGGTGGAAATCGAACACATACATGGGCAGATTGAAGAAAACCCATACTTAGCAGCGACTGCGATGCCCAGAGCCACGCAACCTTCGTCGGAAGCAAAACTACCACCGACCCCGCAGGCTGCTTCTGACAGCGACTCTTCTTCTTAAATAATATACCATTTAAATAGTGAATTGTATATTGCTATAAGATTGTTATGATGTTATAGCATTTGTTGATATTCAATATTAGATTGTGATCTCTTCCTCTAAAGTTAGGTTAATACATAATTCATACAATGTACATAATAAATTTAGTTTAGACAATAACATTTTGTCGAATACTCTAAGACTATACTACCACGAAAAGCACATTAATAAAAATATCAAAATCCACGAGCAAGCTGAAATAAATGACTACTTATTTCATACTATAAACTATTTATACTATAACTTATCGTCGAACGGTGAAATTGAAAGGCCGTTCCATACTGTACAGACTGTACCTACAAATGAAAAATTAGACGCTTATCATGAGTAATTTTCTTGGTAGATTTTTTTATTAGTGGGCTTTACGGTATCGAGTTTATAAGATGACAATAATACGCGTCGATATCGTTTTACGATGTCTCCCTAAAACATTTTTTTTAACGCTCATGCTTGGGATGTCTCATTATTTTTAGTAGCGACCTTTTTGTATTAGCTGTAACGAATACGTGTTGTTTTTCATACTCTACCCGTGTCGTACATGTGCCATAATAATTATAATGTCATACGTTTTACGTAGGTAACAATAATACGTAAAAAAAATCAATATTTATGTTTACGAAAATATCCATAACAAGTATTATGCTCGCGTATAATACCTGAACAATAATAATTATTCATTATCTACACTTAGTATATTATTATTATTATTATTACTATTACTATTACTATTATTTTTATTTTTTTTTTTTGTAACGAAGTAACGTACCTACTTATTTGTTTTTTGGTCATGTTATTACCGTGTAAATAATTTAATTAAATACTCCGTAAAATTATAAGCCACACTTACACGACTAATTTAGCGACTGCGAATCGTATATTCATAATATGATACATTCGTCGTCGTACAGTGTACATAATGTCGTAGGCTCGAATAATCGGTTTACTGTCGATGATCGTTTATTGTTATCCAAAGAGATTTGAAACAAAGTTAAATAATTATAATAACCATATTGGTATTATAGAAATACAACCCGATTGTAATTATTCGAAACATAACGAAAAAACAATGTACTCCACAACTACCACTAGTCCACTGATATGCAGAGTGCAGACTACGCGTGGCTATATATACTACTAAATAAAATACAATTGAAAATGAAACTATTTATTAACTTATATACATCGTATTAAAATAAAACAGTATATTTTTTTTCGTCGTAGGAATAACTCATTATCATTATACTTCGCCGACTCAGGTGACTGTAATTTAAATTCTGATGGCGCCAACACCACTTGTTTGTTTTTCATCTAAACTTTTCATAATATTATACGTTCCGGGCGGTGTTTTGCTATACGCAATCCAGAGTATTACATTTTTCGATCAGCAATATTAATTATTTTTCCAAACACAGTGGTGTGTTATACAATACCGACTTTATTTTTAATTATGTATTATGTATCTCACTATCTTCTGTGAAATGTATTAATCGTTTTTGTTGCATATCATGAAGGTATCAAAAACTTTTGAACGCGTTATTTGTTATTTGTTACTTTGTAAGACGTAAAAAAATATTAATGAAAATATATAATATTATTGTAATAATATTAACTATTAATATTACACTGACAAAATATTAACCATTAATATTGTTATTATAATATAGCTTTGATTGTTACATTTAAGATTGAAAGAGCAATACGCATGTCCGTACTTCTCGTTGTATCAAAATATTTAGGTACTCTGAGATAAGTACACATGTATCTATTTGGAATACCAAATTACCGCATATGTATTAGTTGGACTTTATCCGTTATCCAATACCCCGCCGGTTATAATATTACGGTGTAGTGAATTTTAAATAAATAACCTTCTTAGAAATTTGTCCTGAGTGCATAAGATAACTCAACATTCCGCGTTAAAGTCAATATTTAAGACGTATTTTATGTTAAAATATTTATATAATTATTATAATACGTACAAGCATATTAATGTGTATCCTCAAAAAATGTATTGTGATAAAACATTTTAGACGTTCCGTTTAGAGTATATCGTTTGATTTGCGTTATTTTATTATTATGTTGTTCTTGTCGATATTAAGTTTGATCGATTATTATACTGAAAAAGTTACGTGCGCGTTCGATTAAAACAATAAAAAAATATATTGAAATCTTTCCAATATTCATCTATTCCATCATGTTATTTCGTTTGCGGCATACGAACACCTGTGTATTTTATTTATGTAGTGTTTGAATGTTTCTGTTTTTTATTAGTGTTTTAAAATGTTTGAATGTTCGTTATTATTTAACTATTATTATACCTATCTATATTATTATTATTATTATTATTATTATTATTATTATTATCATCATCGTACGAATCATTTGATTCCTATCACGTGTAAGAGACATTTTATTGTAAAGTATATTTTTTATTTAGTTCAGTATATTTGTTATAATAATAAGTACACATAACGATACATTAATTAAGTGTTTATAATTATTATATGTATGAACGAGTATACAATATATTCAGTATTCAGTGTATAACTATATAAAACACATTTAAGACTATATAAATATAAAAATAACTTTAAAACGAATTGCTGTTGTTTGTTTTTTGATTTGAACCATTTTTAACGTGAAGTATTTACTACAGAGTCGTGAAATAGGTATAAGAATAATTATATCGGCTGCATCAACGTTTGTTAAATAACAATATTGAGAAATTATCAAGCTTAGTGTTAATCATTTTTTAGACTATTCATAGAGCATAAAAACCTGTCTACCACATGATGATCAGAACTGTGGTAAAGCTGCCTCATAAATCTATAAAAATTGGGTTTATAATTAAAAATTAGTATAATTTTATAAATTACCATTTGTTGAATTCGCTAAACCTTAAACACTAAAATATTATATTATATTGCCATATTGGTGTTAAAATTAATACGACTTGATTATGAAAACATTAGTTACTGAAATTATTACTCTAAATTATTATTATTATCAGTCCATTGAAAAAATCTATAAATACGTACTTAATGATGTTTAGAATTTTTAAATTATGGATATAATTTTGTCCTTGTAAACTTTAGTCATATGCTTGTTTGTCCCACTACACTGGGTCGTCAGTGCTGCTACTGGGTACCTATAGTATGATATATTAAATAATTATAAGAAAGAAAGTGCATAATATGAATAGGCGTTATTGGAATGTCTCAGTGTTTTGGTCTTTAAATTTTAAGTTTAATCATGCATTCGAAAGTATAAGTGTCCTAAAAAATATTTTAAAAAATCGATTTGTCAATACGATAGCTCCATTTTATACTGACTAGTATACACAGGCTATAGCTTAGAGATACTATCCTCAGTAAAAGTATTTCTTCAAAATGGTATATTTTATAATTTTATGCTTTCTCAAATAATATATATTTAATTAAATCTTCCAGTATAATAATATATAAATGCTACTTATAGATTTTTAAGCTCTTATCTTATCGAATGCTATTAGACGAAAAAAGAAAATTTTGAGTTATTGAAAAACATTGCCCCGTTCTTAAAATAAAATTCATATAAGTATCTACCTTATTAACTAACAATATAATAACAGTATATTAATAATTATATTTGTACATCATTGCAATAAATTGACACTCATTATTTAGTTGTTTTTGATATCATTTGTTGCTATAAATATTTAATATTAATACAAAATAAATTCATATAAATTAATATAAATATTTTATTTTATTTAATATTACTACCTATATTTTTAATTGTAGAGTTGAAAACGCTATAAGAGATACTATTGAGATAGCTCTAACTACTAAAAGTATATAAATTATATTATATTCATGTTATAAAATCCGAGCAAGTATATTTAATATAAAATCAATAACAATATTGTAAACATAATAATTATAGTGTATAAATATGTTTATGTATTTCGGTTTTTAATAACTCATTAAATATAATAACACCTAGTTATTGCTACAAAATGTAATGTACATTTCACGCAATTTGCATCCTAAGAACGTTATAACGAAATTTTTAACTACAAGCAAGCAATAATTTAAGTCGTTTGACAAATTCAAATATTCTTCACAATTTTTTTTTTTAACTTCAATTTAATTTAATTTAATTATTTTAAAATATTGTTAAACCTAAAATATTTAATGATCCAAGACATCTTTGTTGAGGTGAAAAATGATTGGTTTTTGTTTTTATTTGAATGCTATTTCGAATCATCTAGCAATGGATCCTTGTCTTTCACATGACGATTAGAAAAATAATTTTGTTGAGTAATTTTAATTAAATCATCTGATTGATCATCTTCTTGTAAATCCTTATTTGAGTTATTTTTCGAATTATGTTTTAGTTTATTATTTCTCTTCTTTGTTTTAGTGATTGATTTTGGTCTTAATTTTTGACTTGAGATGGTATGATTGACCACAATATTAGACTCATCATCGGTTGATTCTTTGTTTGTATTATCAGCTGATTTATTAACTGGACTGTCTTTAAATGTTTTACCTTTCTTGTCCTTTTTAGTTTCCAATTTCTTTCTATGTTTCTTATTTGGAGGTTTTATATGCGAATTATTCGATTCACTGCTCGATTCCTTGCTTGTTGAATTCTTGTCTGATTTACCACTTGATCCGTCTTTTAGTTTATGACTTAATATTTTGCCTCCTTTACCATTTGATTTTTGATTCAGATGTTTATTTTTCAAATTATTAGCATGTTTATTAGATTTATCTTTTTGTTTATTGTGCATTGAATTATTTAATTCTTCATCTGATTCACCGCTTGATTCTTGTTTTAATTTATTACTTGAATTTTTACCCATTTTATTATTTGATTTCTGTTTTTTATGTTTATTTTTTAAATTGTTAGCATGTTTACTGGATACATCAGTATGTTTATCGTTTATTGAATCATTTAATTCATCATCTGATTCATCAGTTGGTTCTTCATTTAGATTATTGCTTGATTTTTTACTTACTTTACTATTCGATTTTTGATGCTGATGTTTATTAGATCCATTGCTATGTTCATCGTCCATTGAATTATTTAATTCCTCATCTGATTCACCGCTTGACTCTTGTTTTAATTTATCATTTTTTTCAGAATTTTTACTGACTCTGTTGTTTGATTTATGTTTAATATGGCTGCTATGTTTATTAGCCACGTCTCTAAGATCGTTGTTCATCAAATCATTTAGCTCCTCATCTGATTCACTATTTGATTCGTTTTTTAATTTTTTGCCTGCTTTACTAATTGATTTTTGATGTTGATGTTTATTTCTTAAATTCTTAGCATGTTTATTAGATTTATCGTCATCACTATGTCCATCGTGCATTTGACTAATTAATTCCTCGTCTGATTCATCACTCGATTCTTGTTTCAGTTTATTATTTGAAGTTTTGCCGACTTTGTCATTTGATTTCTGTTTTTTTTGCTTATTTTTTAAATTCTTGCCGTGTTTATTAGATTTATTGCCATGTTCCTTGCGTATTGTATTGTTTAATTCCTCGTCTGATTCATCACTCGATTTTTGTTTTAGTTTATTATTTGAAGTTGTACCGACTTTGTTATTTAATTTCTTTTTTTTATGGTTATTTTGTTTGTTAGATACATCACTATGTTCATTGGTTATTGAATCATTCAATTTCTTTTCTGATTCATCATCACTTTCTACTTCTTTTAATTCATTTTCACTTGAGTTTTCACCTGCTTTATTACTCGATTGTTTTTCAGTATACTTGTCTTTTAAATCACTGTGATGTTTATCCGTCACTTTTTTTAATTTATTGTTTGGTTTTTTTCTAGATTGACTATTTCTTTTTTGGTGCTGATTTTTTTTTTTTAAATTATCGACATTTTTATCTGCTTCATCACTGTCTTCAATATCTGTTGAATCACTTAAGTTATCATCTGATTCACTATTTGACCCTTCCTTTAATTTATCGTTTTGTTTTTGTTTCAGATGCTTGTCTGAATATTTATCTGATTGGTTAGTGTGAGCATCTTTTAATTTTTTACTTGGTTTATCTATTTTACTACTCGATCTACGTTTTTGATAATTATTCTTTATACTATCATGAGCTTTATCTAAATTATTGTGTGTGTCTAATTTTCGCTGATTTTTTAATACCTTGTCTGTTTTTCTATTTGAATTTTTACTTGAATGTGTTTTTGCTACATTCTTTACAACTTTGTCTGAATTATTTGAATCTTCTAGGCTAGAAGATCTTTTACTCACTTTTTTATTCAACTCATTTGAATCTTTCATTGTCATATTATCATCTATTGTTGAATCCGTTAATTTTTTACTTGATCTCTTGTGTATTTTATGAGATGATGTTTTTCTAGTTTTTTTTCTTCTTAAAACATGCCGATGTTTACTTAATGTATCACTTGATTCATCTTTCAATTTATGACTTGTTTCATCATCTAATTTCTTGTGCTTATTATGATGCAAGTTTTTATATTTTATTTTATTTTCTTTCGTTTTCAAATGTTTATTGAATTCTTGATCATTATATTTACTTGATTTCAGTGGTGATTTATGATGTGATTTGTGATAAGTTACATCTCTCGATTTTCGTAAATGAGCGTGGGTTTTTTTCTTTTTATGCTTTCGGCCATCAACACCAACTACCCAATAAAACGGAATCTCAACACTGTGTTGATTATTATTATTATTACTATATTGTTCACCGTCCATAAGGTTATTCTTCCATTGTTCCTCATCCATATCATTTGTTAAAGCTAAATTATATGTGTCCATAGCGTTCTTATTTTCCTTTTCTTCTTTAGTTTCAGGTTTACCATGATAATGAATGAACGGTAAATCACTTTTTTCTGATACTTCGTAGTCAAAATCTGGGTATAAAAACCGAAAAATAGAAGCAGTTAATAGTTATATTGATAATTAATTTAAAGCATTATTAGTTGATACCAACATGATCAAAGTAAACTGAATAAAAACTTTCATAATTATTAATATATAACAACTTTAAATATTCAAATAATCGGTAAAATTAATTAATAATTCCTATTTTATTAATGATATTTTGAAATAGAATATTTTGTTAAGATTAGACTAATAGACAAAGTTTCTTCAAAAACATCTATAAATGAAACAATCGAATACGTAAAAGTATATTTAAAAAGTTTAAATAGAATTAATATTTAAATAGATATTTTTTACACTATATTCATTGACGTTTATGTTATTATTTGTTTTTATTATTATTATTAGGGGAACCCGCTGCAACATAGACCATTGGGTGTGGGGTGGTACGGTAGGGAGTTTTTTGTAAAGGTTTAGCAGGTTTGTGTGTTGGTAGGATTGTAACGCGTGTTTGTGTATATGTGGCAAGGATGTGTTGCTAAAAACCGTGTGGTCACCCATCCGGGAGCTAGCAACGTCGACCGGTGATTGCACTCAGAGCGTTTTCGCACGACCCCCACAGCTATTAATTATGGTTTATAATCAATTCATTAAAATATAAAAGGTCTTGGATCGTGATTAATCGCCGTTACGTTTTCCGTGTCAATTTGGAACATTAATTTACAGTTTATTAGTTTTTTTTTATTCAGATTTTAAACTGTAATTGTTTTAAACTTAATAATATATCTTTCATAAAGTGTGTTTTTTAAGCCAGGATTCAACAAAAATTTTAAGGTGAAACCAATAAATAAATAAAAAATTTTCACATTTTATCATAGTTGAGGACCTCATAACATTCCAATGAGGGCCACATACGGCTTACTATAGCCGTTAATTGCCGACCCTTGCTTGGTTGCTAACCTAACCTAACCTAACTAATGCTATTAATCAAATCTCACTAATTACTTATCACCTGTGTTTTTAGATTAGCCATCTTCAAAAATGTATGTGTTTTATATAAAGGGTTAAAATTATTTGATTCGAATCAACAAATTATGAATTAAAGATTACATTTTAAGGTAACTTTTAATAAATTATATTTTTCAGCTTAGTTTATTGTGTTATATGCGTGAGCTCAAAAAACTTAACATTTATCAAACAATTATTTATAATCAATAGCTATATTATCAATACCTCTATACCTCTAGTCTATATGGTACGTTTTGAATTTAAACAGCTTCAATAATTAAATTTTAAGAACCTGATAGAACAATACAAGTAATACTATTATACCTTTTCAATATAATTTGCTTACGTTTTGAAGTAACAGACGACGTGTATAGAATTCGTTGTGATACTAGCATCCATAAAATGTATTTATGAGTTATAAAGAATACGATGCAATTCTGGTAGAAGTTCATTTTTATTTGATTTTAAGGATATTTCTCATAACTTTGAATGAATAACATAACGTGCTATGATTGTTTCAACTAGAAAACAAAAATCATTTTGCTTAACACGTGTGTATTTTCATAGTAATAATAACATATGTTTGAATAATTTGTTGTAATGTATTCAATATTCATAACACGCAACACAATAAAATAATTTTTTTTTAAATACTAAATTAAAAGTGTTATTTTTTTAAAACTATTTAAATTATTATAATTATTTATAATTTATTACATTTTAACAAAACTTTAATATAAAGATTAAAGATTAAAGATATGAAATGTATTATTGTAAGCAAGAATTTAATTCTATTTTAAAGAGAACAAAATATTAACAACTAATTAATATTAATACATTTTTGGTTAACTCTGAAATTTAAATATAAAATCTGTATAGTTTTGTGGTATTATTTTTCTATAAATTTCCTTGAATAATTAATTTTAAATTTTTATTTTAAGTAAAATATTCTTAAAACTTCAGGAAACCGTAATCAGTAGTTATTTTCAGTAGAAAATAAATTTTAATAGTTCCTTGATAATTGGTTAGGTTTTCTTCCTTAAAAATTAAATTGTTTATATTAAAAAAAAAATAGAATATTAAAATAAATATTATTTTAGATACTATAATTTAAAGTTTTTGTTTTTTTGCACTATATATATATAGTCATATATCGTTTATATTTATAAGACATTTTAATATTTTACCATGATATAACTTAATTTTATCCTATGCATTTCGTATAAATATTTTATTATTTATAAAGCGCATTAAGTTATGTCCTATTGCAATATTGTGTTCAAAAAATCCCTACCTATAAACCATAAAGTCTTTATATATAATAGAACAATCATTACAAGTTATACAATTATGTCAGGGATTTTGAAAGAAAAAAATGAATTTGGAAAAAATCGTTTCATAGACAATTCCGTTACCTTTTAGACTAACATAAACCATTCTGATGATTACCATAAGTAGATATGTTGAAAATGTTGTTAGTTTTTATTTTATTCCGTCGTTTTGAAATAAGCCACAGTCACGAAATGTTTGTTCATCCCATAATATTCAATCATTTCAGTTTTTTCTGCATTAGTTTATTTCCAAAATATTAGTTTGGTTGATTTGTATTTACATCCCAAAACAGTTACTTCTTTTTTTTTATTACCTTTTCAGATATTCTATATACATGTCCGGTAGTTTTATCTGTTGAATTCCATTATTCCTTTGATATTGTTACACTGTGTTATATTATAATGGCGTATACGATATTTTTCAACATCTAAAGAATAAAAACCTCTTCTACTGGCAAGTCGTACATTTATATTTATTCACTTGATATTTGAAACCAAACGGTTTGTTCATTATGATATCGTTTGACGTTGTAAACTGTTGTCTAATTTACGAATATTATGTAAAAACTGCAGTTCTGATACCCTTGTCGTTTGTATTCAATTATAATATACAATACTTTATTGAAGTTATAACGCCTACACCTAAATAGATAGGGTTTTTTTTACACTCAATATAGGTATATTTAAATTGGATTAAACATTAATTGGTTTTTCTTCTGATCCGTCGGATAGAAAATTGAAAACGTTAATAAAAGTAAAACAAAAGTGATAAACCACAAGCTTTTATAATTTGCAAATGAACATCGAAAATATATACAGAATTTAATTAAAATAAAATATTTTATTTAATCATTCCTGACAATAATCACGTAGTCATAGTTTGAATCCATTCATTCTAATAAACATAAAAATATGTGCCAACAACTCAAATATTTAAAACTTCATTCTTCAGTATTTTCTTCTTTTATTGATTTACTATACTAACCTATTTTTCAAATAATATTAGTTGTCATAGGAGTAGATTTGTCACTTTTCAATCTCTAAAAATGTATAATATTTGAGTATACCTACTGCATATTACAATGGGGAAGTTATAGTTAATAAATGATTGATTTTCCTCTTTAATTGTATAGCTAGAGCTCATAAATTAGGTACGTACGATGTATGAGTTACCTATATAAATTAATAACTCAGTAAATACGATTGTAAGATTTCTTAAATTATGTTCAAAATATAAACAGAAATTTATTAGGCAACGGAGTTAGTTTAATTTAACTATGAACATACTTTTTCTTTTATTTACTTAACTTGATGAGCTGAACAAATTCGTTAACTTGTCCAGCATTGCATATTGCGTAAACTTAACTAGTATATTGTATATTGTTTAGTATATTGGTTCTTAACTAAGTTGTTGTTATTTTATTGACGTTGATTACTACTTACTTGGATGATATTTCATTTATTATAATAATTGCATTGATTAATTAATGCTCTACATTAATAGAGGTAGATACTCGTATAATATGTTACTGTTAAGTAACATCCCCATTAACTCGACCATACACTAAATTAGAGATTATGTACATACCGTTAACGCATAATGTTGTAGCCTGTAGCTATATTACATTATGGGTTCGGGTATGTAATCATTACATAAAATTAACCAAGCATCCTTGAATAGACAGTATCAAATAGGCAATAGCAATTATAGTAGTGGTGTCTATGTATACCGGCACCAATGAATAATTAATGATATTATAATTTAAATAAAAATCTACTAAAATGAATAGTATCTTGTATGTAATATCCAATATATATTGTATATTATATTATTACAATCAATAATCATCTGTATTTTATCCAGTGACTTGTATCTAAAAAGGGAGAAACTAAGTACCATTTCTGCTGTACAGCAAGTGTCGAGTATAAGACGTCGTTGAATAATTCTCTGCAATGTACTTACCTATTTTAATTCAATGACATATCACAAAAAACGATTCTGAGTGAAGAATATGTAAGTAAGTATATTTTGTGATATACTTATATTGCAATTATAGTATTTTCCTAATATTAAAAAGTTGAATTAATTATTGCCAAAAACATTGTATTTATTTTATTATTAATATTTCATTATTACTACTATTTACATCGTATCATATTATTATTACTAACTTTTGAGTTGACGCTTACTTCCCTTAAAACGAATGTTAATAGGTTTGAGGTATAAATAGACTTCAATGGTTTAGGCTGCATAACATAAACCCCAATGTCTTGAAAATATCATTGTGACAATGGTGTGTGTGTAAAATATAATAATATATGTAAAGGTTTTAAATACCCGCATGCAGTAAATATTTTTTAAGTTATAATTAAGTATAGCGATAATTCTTCGTTTAAGAATCTAATTTCTTCAAAATTTAAACTTTAAATGTCAATATAAAAAAATTGTGTTTTTATTTTTATTTTTTGTGTTTCCAGTAGGTACCTATAAACTTAAGAAAAAGGTTTATTATATTTTCAAACCTTTAGATATCAAAATTATTTCAAACATTTTTATCTACAAAATAAATTTCGATTCTTTAGGAATTTTACCAAAATTTTAATTTCAAATGCTAATAAAAAAAAAGGTATAATAACTACTTTTTGACTGAGCGAACATTTTTTCATCGAAATGTATAGATAAAAACTCTTTAATATCAAATTTTCAAAAAGTGCCCCAAAATGAACAAAATACTTTGAAAGTATAAGTATATAGGAAATGTTAACAGTCAGAGAAAATGTCAAGTATCTACGGTAATTCGTTTTTCTAATATAAAAGTAAATCGATTAAGTTGAAAACTATTTAAGAATATTAACTCCTAATTTTATTTTTGTTCCCCAATCATTGAGAAAAGTACTGGGAATTTTTAATGTTGATTGCCACAAAATATTTACCAATTATAAATCAAAGTTCTTACCAGAAAATATGCAGAAGTCTAAAATAAAAGCTTTATATTGTACTATATATCATTATGTATACAGAAAAAAGTAATAAAACCCAGATCATTGTAAAATCAACACATCCATCGAGTTACATTTGTTCGTACATATTGCTTATCCCAATCGAATTATGCTGATTCTGGGACTCTATAGCATGTTATTGTTTACCAGTTAGTCACCACTTTTTTCTAGCATGGGACATAATATTTTATTATAGTATGAATTGATTTACATTTTTATTTTTTATTTTTTTTACGGTTGTTCTAAGATACATAATATTCTATTATTGATTTATTCCTATGTATTTATTTGTATAATGTTAATTTTAGAGTTGTGCCAACACATAATTTGACCTTCAATATTATGTTGTCATAGTGTTGAAGGTGTAATAATTCACCAAAACTCTCATCTATCTAGTACTAAAAATTAAAATGGAGGATAAAACTGACGGTATCTCGTTCTGAATACATAAAGAAATGTGGGAGACTACGAAAACACTTGTCGTAGTCATAAACTCACAAATCACAATAATCATAATCCATGTCAACTATGATTATACGAGAACGCTTAAAAAGCATGAAAGACGTATTTTTTTTTCCGTATAAACAGACATTATTGTTACGTATCCATATGTAAGTTAAATAGTAAAGTAGTGTTACATATTATATTAGTCTCAATTTATTCAATATTTTGTACCACAACCAAAGACCACGGGGAAAATGAATACACTGAAGATACAAATATTCTCATCCTTACCCCACTACTGATTTTACTACTTCCTATATTCCTAAGAAACATTTAAAATTAAATATAATTAAATATTATGTTAAAAAACATATTTTTATAACAGTTTTTTATTCAAAAATATCATAGAAATCTATTTTTACAGTAAAAATATAAATTACAATAAGTAGATAGTATAAAATTTATTATACTATAGATTATACTCAACAAACATATAAATAGTTAATTCACTTTCTGGTTAAAATGATAAAGTTGAACAAAAATACTTATCATTATTGTATTATAAATTAAACTATTAATATTAGTTAGAAATGTATAATAATAATAACAAACAATGATATTTTTTCACGAATTAATGGAAAACGTGACAGTTTTCGAGACGGTTGAATGTCTTTTTTGTCTCGTTTCAACTTGTGTTTCTGCACCATTTGGATTAGCCGAGAAAAGTAGTTTCGGATCAAGAGTATTTACATTCGATTCGAAGAACAAGCTTGCCACCAACGTCACTAATACAGTGGTTGCGAAACCGATGACTATATAATACATGTAACTTATCTTATACAAATACATGTAATTGTCTTCGTGAGCCCTAAAACAATAACATTTGATTAAGTCTACTGTGCTACAGGATGTCCCATGTGCAAATGTAAATGTAGAAGAATAATTTAGTATTGTTATCCGACATTTTCTTTAGTGCATATTCATATCATATCATGATACCGAAAATATATTTATTGGTGATTTTTTACAGCTTGAATAAAAAGTTGTAATACAGGCATACTTATTAGTTGTCACGTAATAATATATATCACATACACAATAAAAATAAAAAAATAATAAAAATAAATATATATATATTATACAGAAATAAAATAATTAAAATAATATGGATAATATTCAATCATGTTTGGCTAAGTACTTAAATTATTACTGCATACTATACCATTGGCGATAAATGCTAACGCATATAGTAACGTATTTGTATCGAAGTTCCATGTACCTATGTACACAATTTAGAAAATTTATTGAAATCGATATTGTTTTACTTCACTTCTGCACACAGTGTGATCAAGATAACACGGTAACACTAAATATTCGACCATATGATATTTGATTTGGAGTTCTTTACTGCACAAAAGGACTTATGATATTAAACTTGTTTTTGAAAAATTCAAACTTTTAACTTTATTTCAGCAATTGTGTATTAAGACAAATATTTTCATCTCTCTCCCTCCTACCACTCACCAATCCACCGTTGAGTTTAAATTTGAACCACAATATTTGTTTAGACAATATTTAGACGCATAAAGTTCGATCCTAATATATCCGAATAATTCCGTTATTGAAAATGAGTTAGAAATCATATGAATCAGTAAAAATCGTAGAAAATTACAAGGAACTTTGTATTCCATAAAAAATAAACAGTTAATGTGAATAATAACAAAAATGCAAAATATTTTCAAAATATTGTTCGTGTTATTTTATTTTATTTTGATTGAACCTCTGTGTGATTTCTTACGATTTTAAACTCCTCATGAAACACTAAAATATGTTTAAGATAAAAAAAAATTGATGAGTCAAAGTTGATTAAAAAATACTAATGAAATTTTAATGTGAACTAAAAAGGTTGTAGTTTTTTTTTATTGTTTACGTTGTGGAAAAAAATAAAGTATAATATTGAGTATTTTGGAGGCTGGACAAAAAAAAACTCTGAATAAAATAAATGGTCATGCATTCAGTGTTACCTTAAATCATGATCACTCTGTATAGGTGGGTACACGTTTGAATCTAATAAACTATATTTATGTGCCTGATGCTTCTTATATACGATAAGTGAAACCGCACACGCACACACATCAGATGTATCATTTGGTCTTATGTGTAATCCGCGTATAGCTGGTAATACTATACACGGAGGGCTCCAAATTCCAACGGAGAGACTCCGCGTCGACATTTCATACGTGATCCATTCAACATCAAACTTTCGAACTCGATTCGCACAAGATATGAAGTATTCGAGTTATAATAATTTGATCGTATTTCTAGGCCCCACTGTGGGGTGCATAATATTATGTACACGAAACACTGTGATACTCACTCCGGTGTGGCTGCGGTAGTCAGTAGTTGGGTGGCGGTAGACGAAGCGTTTACGTGCAAGTCACGAAACGAGTCCGGCAAACACCCGTTGGTGTACGTGGGCAAATCTTGCACCGGCGGTTTGGGTCCTCCAAGTCCCAGGACGAACGAAAACACGAGGCCCGCGATCAGACCCACCAAAGCGCCCTGTATACATGAGTACAGTTTTAATAATATATAGTAACTGGAACCGATCCGGTGAGACAAAAAACACCAGCCCGACCGACGGATCGTCATCGCCGTCAGCCTATACTTCGGGCATTGCAATTTATAAGATTTGATAGATCATCAACTACGCTTAAAACCGCAAAATAGATCGCCACACAGTACTACTACACTGAAGTCACGCCAATTTCTAAACTTAATATAGTATTGTTCATATTATCATACTATATAATTTCTGGTTAGTGGTAGTTAATATTATTAAACTGTCCAGGGGCGTATACCGTTTTGTTATTATTATTTTTTTTTCTCGAGGGGTGAAGCGGGTAAAAATAATTAATATGTAATACCCACAACGTACAAAATACTGTAATAAGATTAAGAAAAAAAATTAATGTTAAAAACGCATAAATGAGGGGTGTTTAAAAAAAGTACAATCGTTAAATGTATAAGGGAGTAGAACAAGAGTGTAAAAAATAAATGTAGTTTTTTATTTAAAAAAAATTATTTTTTTCTTTGCGTTTCTTCTAATGCTCAGATGGTTATAACTTACAACTTATAACGAAAAACTAAATACTCTAAGTTACATAAATATTGTTGTCATTTCCAGCATCATAATGATGTTTGGTAACGCTGAAAATGTAAAAAACTATCGTCATATACTAAAGCGTAAAATTTTATTGTTTGTACACTCACATTTCGTTCTTCGTTGCTTTATACACAGAGTTTTAAGTTTGAAAGATAAATTTAGAAAATTATCCTTTAGTGTATTATTTTAGTAAAACAATAATTTAATTTATTGAGGGTATAAAATACGTATTTACACATTTTAATAACCGAATAGCACCAGGTGCAGTAGTGAAAAATGGCACTCGAAAATTATGTGTCACACTATTCTTTATATTTAATTTTTACTGTGACAATAGAAATTGGGCACATTATAGTAATAGTATCGTATATCATTTCTTGCTACGACAATGCTATGCATTCATAGCTCGCTATCAACTATAGTTAGTTGTTAGTTATAACTTGTAAGTATACTTTAAGATGTACCTATATCTAGCTAGGGTCTGTTGCGTATCGGTCAAACTTTTGGTCCATTTTTTTTTAAATAGTGTTGACAGATAATAATAATAGAAATAAAGAATTATAATACCGCAATATATATGGCGAACACTTAATTTTTACATCTTTCCCGGACATTTCGTAGGCCCCTCGTCCCGTCCTTCTTAAATTATACAAGTTACAAATTTTCAGTCCACGGTATTATTTTTTTTTATCACCATGCATGTTATTTTAACAAGTCTCTATAGTAGTGGTTCTCAAACTCGTTTTTCGCGTACCACTCATGTGTATTTTTAACCTGTCACGTACCACTTATGTCTGTTTCCATGTTCAAACACAATTAAAAATATCCATTTATCTTCTCTTCGATCTATCACTCTGTGGTCTTCCGCGTACCACTAGTGGTACGCTTACCATAGTTTGAGAACCACTGCCCCATTGCTTTATTGGGTGTCATGGACGTGCGCTTGCAACGAACCACGGTTGATGGTTACCTTTTGGTTTGCGTACGGTACGAGTATGCCTAGAGTGAACACCGCCAACATAGGTCCTCCAATGATTCCCAAAATCACCATCGATGCCTGCAGCAGCGGTCCCACGAAACTCGCACAAAACGCTAACGCTATCGATAGTATCCCGTAGACGACGACAAGGACTTTGAGCCACAGCACTCGTTTCTCATCGGGTATGTCGACGTTGGTCAGTGGCTATATATAATTATACACACCCGAAACACATTCCAATAATAATATCGTTTCGCACTGTTTCAATAGCAATAATAATATTTTAGGACGAGCACTGTGATGTATACAAGTATACAGCTGCAGGTACAAGAGTTACGATATAATATGTGATCAGTGACGTTTTCAGCTTCTTTGAAAGAGAGGGGGGATATGAATTTTCGACTATTCTCAAACCACGTTAAATATTATGCATTATTATTGCTCTATCGTATATTTTATACGATAAAAATAAGCCAAAGGGTGGAGGTAGAAACCCTCCTCTCCCTCCTTGAGCAGTCCCCTCTATGGTTTTAGGGCTTAAAATTACAAAAATATTACTGTGACGTAGTCCTCGAGTGTGACGGCAGCCAGTGAATTGAGGGCTGCGGATACGGAGCACAGTGCCGATGAGCATACACCCGCCAAAAACAGGCCGGTTAATCCAGGTACGTGGGTCATCGTGTCCATCACGAACAGAGCCATCAGCTGATCGCCGCTATTTATTCTGCCCTCCCTGAATACACACAAACGCCTTATCAGTAAGCCGTTCTATAGGTGAACGTAAGTTCGTGGGGTTCCAACTTGATCGGGTCACAGTCCCGGTATTTGGAGAATATGGCCAGGCCCGCGAAGCACATCGATAGCGACAGGAACGCGGTGATTGGCCAAGAGAACCACAGAGTCCTAACCGCGGTACCGTAGTCCTTCATGGTCAGGTAACGTTGCACCTGCACCTGGTTGACACCGTACACCGAGACGTACGTGAACATTCCACCCAGCATCAGAGACCACCAGCTATGCCTGACCGTCGGGTCGATCTGAAAGCTGTCCGAACATTCGTGTACATTAATATTGGAGAACTCACCCACACACAGTGTACCCACTCGTATCAACGCACTTGAACAGTTCTACGCGACCGTAATCGTAAGCGATCCTCCAGATCTCTGACAGTCCGCCAACATCAACCGCTGCCACAGCAATGACGGTGAAAACAGACCCAAACATGAGCAAGGACTGCACTAATAGAAAAACTTCGTTACATCGTAGGTATCATAAAGTATTGTCAGCCTATTTTGATTAGGATCTGTTGTTTTAATATCATGCGAATTCTTTGTTTGAAAAATTTTCCAGGGTCCCTAATTTATTTATTACACATATTTGTGAGGATAATGGAAGGTTTTTGAAAAATGTCGTAAATTAACAGTTGTCGTTTCTACAACCGGGTGTGTTGACAAAATGCCAATTCATTTGATTACAAAATTGGAACATCAAATTCATTTCCAGTTCAAAATATAACATAATATTTGGTAAAAAAAAAACCAATTTTACTCAAAATGTCTGTAATTATGGTATTTCCCTCAACAACTCTTCATTGTCCTTTTAGGATTTAGTTTACAAACCTTTTTTTTAAATTAAATATTAAAATATCGCTTAATATTCAGTATTATCTACACAGACAAACACATAATTTAATTAAAATCATCGTTGGCTTTAATATACGTTTTGGATTGTTATACTTTTGGAATTTTGGATATTAAAATTTTTTATAATGATATATTATATTTTATATTATGATTAACAATGCATTATTTTAGGGATGTTGTTAAGAGATGATTTTGAAAATGAGGATGGGATAACTTCAATAATTTACTATAGAACTATATAAGTAAAGCCATGATGTTATGCTATACTGTTTTGAATTCCACGTATGTTTAATTTAAAGCACGAATTTAATGAAAACTTTGAACCGAAACACGTGTCCAGGAAATTAATTTCTTAGAAATAAATATTTTTGTAAGCTCGAGTTCTATATTATATAGTATACTGCTCATTATTTACAACAATAAGTAATTTAGTAATAGAGAACAAACTTTAGAACGAATTAATCACTGGCGTCTGAGCCAGTTATATAATTTGGTATGTTAACTCATTAGCAAAATTGAACCAAGAATTGTTTATTACATCATTCCGAAACTTCAAAAATAGAAAATCATTTGTACAATGATGATTTCAAAATGTAATGCGAACTTTGGGCACAGAATAGCAAATATAATAATCATTCGTTTTTTATGTAATACATTTTTTCTTTACATCGATTGAAATTGATGAAATGTTTTCAGGCTACATTATTTCCAGCTTTCGTGTATATCATGCACTGACACCTTTATAAAAGTTAAATATTTTCATTAGAATATTTTTAAAACCTTACACTATAGCTCAAACATAAATAATAATTGAAGTAGATTAGATTATATTTTTAAAAAACGAATGAATGTCGGGAAATAATTTCGGAATGGTTCCAGAAAATTTTATTTTCAATGGTCATCGATTTGAATTACAAAGTTCCGTTTACTCTTTACAATATCAAACATATGTATTATCATAAATATGGTCAAAGACAAATACAATTTTATAGGGAGTATCATACAAATGTAATATGAACCTTAGGTAGTATATTTTATTGTTTATAACATTTTAGATATCTACAGAGTCGAATTAAAACTTTTCCTGTAATCGGATTTGAATTATTATGGCGACCGAATTGTATTTCAATAAGTACTCCAGCATGTGATCGTATTACATATTATTTACATTTCATTGGTATTGTGAATATAATTTCAACAGACAAGGAGGTAAATCGAAATTGTAAACCATCTATTTTATTGTTTAATACATTCTGTCGATTCCATAAATATATTTTAATATGATATTTGAATGAGGTTATTGCTATATGTTAATATTGACGTTGCACTTATCGTTGTAATGAACCCGAAACATGGTAGATATTAGTATATTACCAAGCAATGGAGTCAAAATTAAATTAACTTAAATTTAAAAAAACTTATTCCGAGAGGAGGAATAGCCGTGTAAATAGCGGCGTTCTAGTCCCTAACTTATGTGTTCAAAACTATTTGGTTTTAACATGCGCTTTATCGATCGTAATAGGCAATTATGGCCATTCGTACATGAACGTTGTAATTCAACTTTTGTAGCTCGTGAAGTTTCGTTATTTATAATCGAATACGCATTTTTTCATGCCGTCAGTGCAGAACCTCGAACACAATAATTGCAATCCGTGTAAAATTCATAGTTAAAATAAAAAGATCAGAGAACAACTTGACAAATAGAATTAGGGATAGGTATTTTGAGAGCACTGATTGTGTGGTATAGTACGTCATCAGGATGGATTGGGTTCGTCGTATACCAGAAATTCGTTACTTGTAATCGGTGACTATTTCCCCTTAAAATTGGAATCGGTGATAAAAAAAAAGAAATTCCTTTTACTAGCCGATCACTTTGGTTACAAATCGGTCACGATTTTTTGTGACCATCTCCAATGGCTGGTTATAATTTATAATCCCCTCCATAATTATTACTTCTCCTAATTTTGGCACATGTTATCAATGTTGTTATTTTAACAAACTATGATAACAATATTATATTTGATAAAAATATTATTATTTTGTTATAGGAGGGAGTTGGCTATTATTATCAATCGATTATCAACGAATATCAATCCTACCACCGGTTAATTTTTGTTTGTAACCGTTCACTATTAATTTGTCACAGCTCTAATCTATCGAATTTTTGGATACCCACATCTACCATCACAATGAAAAACGTACGATTGCATTATGTAATGGCTTTCGTTGTAAGATCGGTGCCATTTAATTACTAGAAAGGCCGAATCGACGCTATTCGAATCAATAGCCTATAAATTTAAAACCCGCGAGGCTGACCTGAAACAAATCGGTGACGATTACGGCTTTTATCCCGCCCACGGTCGAGTAAAACGTGCACAAAATGCCGACAACCGTCATGGACGCTGTCTGAGAAAAGCCAGCGATCGCGTTCAGGGCCAGCGAGGCCGCGTACAGCACCAGTGCAGTTCGCAGCACCGTTTGGACGCTAAACGCCACGGACGCGACGATTCTGGTCGACTTGCCGAAACGCTCTTCCAAATACTGAAACAATAATAATAATAATATAAACCTATTTTACTTTTGTTTCCTGATATTCTAATAACACGTTAACATCATTTGTATTATTTTGCATTAAACGCGCGCACGCGCTGTGCAATAAAATATATCATATTATTTAGCAGCTGTGAAGTCGCTGAGGTGTCCATGTTAATATCGTACCAACATATTTGATATTATTAAGCGAAGACGCTCGTCGATACACTAAAACAATGTGTGACGGGCAGGCTGTTTTCTTACTATTTATTTTTCGGTTTTCATTTTGAACTACCTGTAATGCGTTTCCCGATCACACTTGAATGACGTCGTTTAATTACTCGGGCCGGAAGAAATGTGCAAAAGAAACATTACATAGTTACACGAACTTCGAGCGCTCGAATTCCGTTGAAAATTACTGCCCGACCGAACTTCAGAGAAAAGTCCGAAAGGGCTAAAATCGAACTACTATGAAAACAATGGCGTGTAAATATATTATTCTCCAGCAATGATCAATAATAAACTAGGTGTTCTAAAAATAACACGGAAAGCTACATTATTTAACGTGATATTAAATAATCAATCATTTTAAACTAAAATAAAAATAATGCATTACATTAATTTAGTCAAGTATAGACATTACATATTGTACAAGAATACATAAGGCTATTGATAAATTTTCTAAAATATATTAGTTACCAAAATAATGTTTCTTGCACACATCGGCTACTCAATATAATATCTTGGAGACATTTAGTTTCCTGTCTTTATTTTTCACAGCATGCGTATTTCAAAATATTTATTAAAATTTATTTTGATAAGTAGGTACATATTATCATAGCATAATTAATGTAAATTTAAACTGTGGACCTTTTGCATTTGCAAAGCTTAACTAACTATAAGTAGGCATTAAAAATAAAAAATAAATGAAGGGAGAAAAGTAATTATGAATTATTAAATACCTACGTATAATGTCAAATATTTGTCAGGAGTCTCATTAAAAAATTAAACGATTATAATTTATAATCGCCTATTATTAAGTACTTAACAGGCGTCCTGCTTCTGTGTGGTTCGTAATTCACATATTATATTGTGTTATTGTAGATAATAACGAAATATTAATTAAAAAACGTTAATTAATTCTTACACAATAGTAATAATAAGTACTGATTCACCTGGTAGACGGATAGATATCCGAGTTTATAGAATACTGGCAGGAAAACATAGGCGACAATAGGTGTGCCGATAATGTTGGATGCATTAATGACCATAAATTGTGTTCCTCTCAGGTAGTTTTCGGCGCTCAACCCGAACATGGCTGTAGCACACATGAAACTGGCCATTAACGAAAACCCCACAGGTATAATGGACAGTTTCTTGTCTCCCAGCATGTATTCCTAGAAATATCATGAATAATATATTATATATATTTGTGTGTGTGTGTGTGTGTGTGTGTGTGTGTGTGTGTGTGTGTGTGTGTGTGTNGTGTGTGTGTGTGTGTGTGTGTGTGTGTGTGTGTGTGTGTGTGTGTGTGTGTGTGTGTGTGTGTGTGTGAATAAATATGTAATTTACAATCATCCGTGCGACACTCCATTAGTAAATGAACAAAAAATAACAATTAATTATAACCAAACCATTGTTTTTTTTGGAGCACCCGGGATTAAAAATGTATAGATGTTGTTATTTTTTCTAATTATTAATTCGTTTTATTTCTGGTATTGGATTATTTTGTATTTGTTTGTTTTTATTATTCCTACCCTGCCAACTGTTTATTTGTTTTTTATGTAAAGAAAAAGCCAGGACAACCATGGCCGTAATGTTGGCCTCAGAGACAAAAAAAACCGTCTTTTTATAATACCTAAATCAATTCATTGGATTATTGAAATACATTGAAAACATTTTAAATTTGATAAAATTAATTTGCATTTATATGAAGAAGGTGGTCAGTACGTTTTTGGTGGACGAATAATCCAATCCTAGATGATATCAATTTATTATATCCCATCAAAAGCAAAATTTTAACTTCCTGAGAAAAAATTATGTTATAATATTATAACATATTTCATTATTTGTTTACACCCGAAGGTCAAATATTTTTGCAAGTAAATAACTGCTTTTATTCATCAATAATAATAAGTAATAACTAATAAGATTTAAAAATGTAGTTTTCCAAGAATTAAATATTTCTAAATATATATAATATTGATTTTTGCATGGACTTTACGTGTGGTATATCTGACATTTTACACCACAGAATGTAATATACCTACTGAGAAACAAACGTGTTTATATTAATCACAGTGAACAAAATAATAAGGACAATATTCTATTTTTTCATACAGACACACAATTTACTGTGAAAGGTGATAATTATAGAATATGGATACATAGTTTAGGTTTTTAAACATAAGTTTAGAACACTTTATATCGCCATTGGGTGCATCCGTCCGTTAGTGACAAGTACATAATAACGAATTTACGATTTTTGATAGGTACCTATATGGATATATGTCTCAAATTTCTTTTAGTTACTTAGTTACTTTAGCTACATACATTGTACAGAGGTATTGAATTATATTTTATTGGATCGTAAAAAAATGCCTACGTTAAGAAAACAGGAATTTAATACGCTTGCAAAGTGATCTTTAATAACCGCAGTTTAATGTTCAAATTTAAAACAGTCAATTAGTATGATAAATTAATCACCTAATAAGCATATATATAGCCATACAGGGCGACCATTTGTATCCCTTAATAATTTGATTTTTTTCAATTTATAAGTGTAGGAATTTTTGAAAATAGTTGAAGACCATATTTTAAAATACTTGTTTCTACTTTTTTTACTTTTAGTCATTTAAGATGTCTAGTAGTGATGTAAACTTATTTCATTCAAATTAAATAGTACAATACAGTACTTATTAGTTATTAAACTTGGACAATTTTTACAAACTATACAATTTTAGTAAATCCAATATAAATTAACATAATCTTCAAATCACCATAGCTCCCATATTACTAAACCTCCATTAATTATTGTGCATTATTATATCCATAGTAACTTAAGTTTGACTATACTGACTCGTTTAAATTTCGATTTTCATGCATCAATATTGTCAAAAATATAATTTGTTTAACAATTTACAGTATAAAGGTTACTGTATAATTTATAGAAAAAATAAGTTTGTAGCGTATACCACTAAACGGCAGTATTTAAATTGTAAAAAAATCTAAGGATTTTAAAATTAAGTCGCTAAATATTCTTGGAAATTCCAAAAACTAGAATTAGCATAAATCCATTATGGAAAAATGAAGATTAGCATGATTGCTATATTACCACACTTATACATATTCCTGAGTCTCCTGTGGGCTGTGACGATACAAATTTCTTTTTATCGAGTAACAACAAATCTTCTTTACTCAAAATTGTCGAGCAAATTATTTTTTTTAAAAACTTTTTATGTGTATAAAAATTAAATTGAGTTATTATAATTTATAAGCTCAGAATAACGACCCTAAAAATGGTTTTACAAAAATGTAAAACGGATGCAATAACTATAATACACCTACTGTATAAAGTATTTATTATACTTGAACAATTTTTACAAATCATAAAATGCTGATAAATTTAATTACATAATGTAAAATAACTATGAAAATCGGTTAATATAATTTTTAAATTACCATATCTCCCATACCACTAAGCCTTGGTCTAATATTCCGTAGTGTTTAAAGTTTAATAACTCAAGAACTATTGGAAGAATTTCAATTTAGATACATCAATATTTTCAATAAAAAAATCTAATTAACAATTCATTGGAAAAATTATGATTTTCGTTTGAAAAAAAGATGTTTCCCGTGTAAACTCTTATAAACTCTTAAAACACCATCTGAGAATCTTAAAATATGGTACTTTTCAGTAAGCTCGGTATTTGTAAAAAAATTGGGATGGACGTGCTCGGTGAATCATCCTGTATACATGGCTACTAAAGTAGACGTATTGTCCAATTGTTCTCCAGGCACAACAATGCGTTCAAATGATTTAAATATACGTTTTGAATACTTATATGTTCAAAAGACTGAACTCGACGGTCGTACGACAAAAACATTACGTCAAACATTGTGATGTCATGTACGATATTATGTGCATATTGATATTGTGTTTTACCTGTGTCGTTTGCTGTTTGCCACCAGTGAGCCGGTAATACACTCCGATCGCGGCGGACGCGAGCAACGTGACCGTAAGCACAACATAATCGAAAGCGCCCAGAGCCATAAATGTATTAAAAAATGTGTATATTTTTTGTACTCAAACAATCAACGCAATTAACACGGCGAGAAATGCACGTATATTATGTACGCTCGCGATAGATTTGAAACATTATATTCATATGACAACGAGTAACGCTTTGAATAATAATGATATAATAACAATAATAATAATAATAATAATATTAGTAATAATACAAATAAAATGACATGCGCGTTTAACGACGAATTTTATCGGCACTAATCATTCTCATTCGAGTTTATAATCTTCATCTGATACAACCACGCATTAAACTAAAGCCACCGTATATACAGGACCATTCAAATGTTGAGTTATCACAAAACCGGTGGGGATTACGATATCGCAAACGTACATGTAATATTTATGTTTGTTGTGCATATATTATGTGACGCATATTTGATAGAATATGGTACATAATATTATAACATTAATATTATACCGAATGCATAGTTACATACTAATAACTAAGGTGTTCATGTATCATTATTATTTGGTATATTTTTCTTATATTTCATATGCCTATAGCAACGCTGGACATGAACCAGATAATAAGTTACAGTTAAGTTAATTTTAACTTTTTAAGATTTAGTTTTAAGTAACTTAATTGATTTGTGTTCATATTAACTTAGCAAGAACAAATTACTTTCAATAAAACCCAAATTAAGTTTTTTTATAAATAATTAGAAAATTAATATTATAAAACGATTACTGATGATACAAATGATAGAACCTAGTTTTACACCACGTTGCTGCTATATTAGCCACAGTCTTTCAATAAAAATATAATTTTTTTATACCATACTGGTATCAAGCAAAATCGTATAAATAGTATAATTATTATATGATAACAAAACAAGAAAGCAAAAAAAGAAAAAAACATAACATATTTTAGGTTTATGTATATAGCTAAGTAATGATTTATCTTAAACTTTGTGGATAGTTGATGATAGTCTCGATTGTTGGCTATTTATATGTATATTAAAAAATGTAATTACAAACTTTAGTTTGCACGTTAACAATTGTTGGCTTCTACGTAACTCATCATAACTTAATTAAGGAAAAAATAATAATGTTTTAACTGTTAACGTTAAAAATGTTTTATTAAATTAACTCGGTTAAAAAATATAATTAACTTGCCCAGTCTCGCTTAATAATCTGATACCCGCAGTATAATAATAGCTGAGGTTATCTCGTCTCACCCTGTATAACATATATAGTAGGCGCCGTCGATTTATATACGACCGCGAACTTACGCCTAACTCGGTGATAATAATACTTAAATGTATAACATCACGGTGACATTTATACATCTATATATAAACGTATTAAATGTCCCTCGTCGGGTCGTACAATAATAAAATATGATTTCTCGTAATCAATTCGAGTCGATTTTATTCAGTCGGTTCGAGTGGTTCGATAATTATTATTTGTCCGATTAATACTACAATATAAGATGGCTTCGGCGAGATCGTTATATTAGTACGAACGCTACCGTGTGATTAAACTTGCACAATTATTAATATTGCAGTGTGTACAGTGTACACATTTTACCATATAATATTATACTTAATTATATTGGTATAAGACTATAGAATGTGACCTGAAGTCCCGCATTCGTCGGTACAGTACAGCAGCGGATTTGTAAGCAGATGTCCTGCTACGTTTTGTGATCGAATCAGCACTGTACCACTGTAAAATGTTTCGATTTTAACTAAACATTCCCCCATTGCCCCGATCTCGAACAAATTGTAATTTTTGTTTTGACTTCAAAACCTTGCCCATACATTAAAAATAATATGTACTTGACGTTGGTTTAGTCATTATGTATTAATGCTATTTTAATATTTCTGTTATTTTTTTTCGTTTTTCAGTGACATCATCATAGATAATATTATATACTTGTAGGGAGGGGCAACTCATTAGAACCAATCTAGGTTAGGTCTAACAAAACCCATCTGGAAACATAAAAAAAATCAGATTGATTATCCTACGGACTTTCATTTGACTGTTTCGCGTTTACAAGTCACATTACCCATAGGCTAAATAGATGTAGATACGACATTGTTGGTATATACAATTATTATAATTATATCGCATAGATTTTTTGCCGTGGTTAAGCGTCGTTTTGAAGACCAAGAAACAGGGCCTTTATATTATTATAATATGTCACGTATAATAATATACGAACGGTACGACAGTTGACGATTTCAGCGATACGACTTTTCGTTTATTTATTTATTTATTAATTTTAGCCATTCCATTCGTAAAAAAAAAATATATATATACATATAATAACAACACGCAAGCCTATACACCGGAAACCGGATTGCTAAATAATTTAATAACTATTGACTTTGCATGCGTCGAACGACTGCCGTGGAAAAAAACAATTTCGAAAAAGAAACGTCTACATGGAACGCAAAATGAAAGTTTTCGTCCACTAGCTATTGCGGGGTTTAATGTATACCACGGTCGACCGGGGCCGACCACGCTCCACCGACAACTGCTGTCCCTCACCGACGGCCGGCGAAATTCAAATATGGCTATCCAAATATTATAATATTATTTTATAGATGCGTGGCGACCGAAAGCATTACAACGCACGGCGATGTTATGGAATAATCATTACTAAACTGTATTGTGTTGTGTGGTATCGACAATATTGTTATAATAATATTATTCAAATATATTTTACAGGTTCAGCATTAAAACTTGCGTCGAACTTTTGTGCCTAATCATATATTATGCTGCAGGGTATACAGAATTGACAATTTTACAACGAAACTACGTTCAAATGCGTCATATACCTCAATACCTGCATGTACTTAGGGTTTAAAATTTCATGAAATTTTTTTTTTTAATATTTCATTTCTATGAAAAATAAAAAATAAAATGTTTAATACTTATATATCTAAAAGTTAACAGTCCTCAACTTGCAAGCGAACACTTTTAAAAGTTGTTTTATTGTATGAAACAAAGAAAAAATATGTATCATATTTACATACAAAATATAATAATAATATAATTTTAAATACAACGAATTTCAACTCAGAAGTTACAGACTTATAAGCCAACTCAACATCGCAAAATATTTTGAAACTCCTATAAAAAAATGTTTGGTGTTTTTTAACAAACCCTATTAACATAATATATTATAGTAATTTGTAAATCTTTGTTGATAACTGATAAGTTATTCATCATCAATGTTTTCTGCGTGTAATCAATATATAACTTGTAATCATCTATAACCGAACACGTTTAGAAGAAGAAAAAATGTTTTTCATAGTTTCATCGAAATATTTCAAGAATAGTGAAGTTTTCAATTTTGAAATATTTCAAATTCAAAACTCTACCTGCACTCCGTAGGCTCACTCCGTATATACCTATATTATACACATCGTGTACATAGATTTATGCGTGGTTTGTCGTTCAATAATGTTGTTGTAATCGAATAGTGAATTAATTAACCGCACTGATTAGACCGGGCGCGTTATGATAATTATACGATGTCTTATGATTTATACTCGTCAATAACAGGCTACAGATATCGAATTATTACTGCAGTGAAACGATATTATATAGTTATTATAACACTCGAGTGTCACACTTGTTATGGCTGCTGGTGAACTATCAAACACATGCATTGTTTTTTACAAATAATAATAATAATAATACCTATAGTACGTTAATTCCTCGGTACGCATGTAATTGGTGACTATTTTGTACCCAGCCGAAAAAATAGTGTTTTCGTTATTCACTTCGACAGAGCCATTTTGACGCATAAGCTTAAAAGGTTTTGTTTGCCGAGCTTATTACTTTTTTTTTTCATTTTGCCACGGTCGCTTCGTACTTTGTTCGCTTTTTCGAATTTATTTATTTATTGTAAACGGGTATAAGAACCCTTTCAGAAAGTAATGCAGTGCAATTAGACATAGAATAATAATGACAATACGAGTACAAAAATAAGAAATGACAAAAAACAGCGACAAGGACATTGGATATCATAAACTTAATGGTCATATTATATAGCGATCGAGTAGAACTACCTATAAAGTAGCATTGAAGCTAAACATACACTTTGTTTAAAAGAATCAAGTGACATAAAAAAGAAGTCTAATGTGATCGGCAATAAAGTTAGATGTTAAGAGAGTAAGTTATTTTTCAAAAAAAAAAAACGCGGAACTGCCTAGTTGGTCTTATAAAATGAGAGGTCAGGTCGGGTATAGACAATAGGAATATTGTACATTTCCGATATAGGGTGGGTATAATTATAGGTATCCATGGTGCATATATTACCATTATTTTAACAATATTAAAGGGTTTCGACGAGCCCGCGTTGTTTGCAGGCCACCCGTTCGAATGGCATAAAGAACAACAATATTACTCCGTCCTCTCTGGCTGGGTTCATGTCGTCGTCAGTTACGGTGGCGAACTATTGATCCCACCCCATCCGTCGGGAAAAACTTTTTTCGGTACCGCCAACGTGCAGTATGCATATATAGTGTACACTGTGTAATGTATAATATCAGCAACGTCTAAATACGGAATTCTGCTCAAAGGCAGCTAGACCAGTGACCGAACGGGGTCAGAAACATGAGTTGAAAAAGTAACGCTGTGACGTCCCCCGGTCGCGGGAATTTCGATTTTTCGGTGCCCCCCGCGTATTACGACATGACACGAGGGTCGCGAGGCGTGGAATATCTGAAACCGGGCCAGGACGAATTATACTGCTCTGGTAGATTTAAATAATTTGTATTCAAAAACGGTTTTGCCGTTTTCAATAAACGCATGGAAAAAAATACACAAGTCAAACAAAAAGCTGTTCAGATACTCGATCATTGAAATAATCTGATTTCGATTTAGATTATAGCAACAATATATTGTGTACCCATAACCTAGGTAATATTGGACGTGCGGTATGATTGATCACTGGAAAATATCGAAAATTCCGAACTGCTTGCAAATTGTATTATACTATCGCTCTTGATGATATTTACTTAGCACACTTTTAGAATAATCATCGAACCGTCTTTTACCCGGTGCTTGAAACATTGACTCTGAAAATGTTTTTTTTTTTTTTTAAAGGTACATACTAATATTGTTGTAATCTCCTCGAAGGATACGTTTATTGTATTATATTTTGAACCTTTTTTAAACCGCATACAACTCGTACACGGCGTCCAATTATTACTTTTTGTTTTGTTTTGGAAAACATCTTAAAACTTTGAAATATCTATGTGAGAGGTACCTATATTATACGGTATATTTTCATTTTTA